AAAGAAAGAAAGAAAGGTAAAGAAGGAAGGAGAGAAGGAGGGAGAAAGAGGGAAAGGAGGAGAAGGAGAAGAAGAAAGAAAGGTAGAGAAGGAAGGAAGGAGAAGAAGGGAGAGAAAGAGGGGGAGAAAGAAGAGAAGGAAAAAAGAAAGTAGAGAAGGAAGGGAGGAGAGAAGGAGGGAGAGAATGAAATAAAGTGAAAGAGGGAAGGAAGGAGAGAAGGAATGAAAGAGAGAAAGAGGGAGGGAAGGAAGGAAAGACAAGGAAGGATGGAACCAAAGAGCAAAGGAAGCGAGAAAAGAAACAGGCAGAGAAGGAAGAAGGGAAAGAAAAAGAGGGAAGGAAGGAAAGAGGGAGGGAAGGAAGGAGAAAAAGAAAGGAGGGAAAGTGGGAGGGAAGGTTGGCCACAGCAACATGTGGCGGGTACAGCTAGTGTAATATAAAATTATAATATCATAGAATTATATGTCATATAAATATATAATTATAATATATAATTAGCATTTAATGGCCTTGCAGCTCCAAAGCCTGGTTGATTGCTGCCTGGGGATCCTTTGTTGGGAGGTGTTAGCTGGCCCTGACTGAGTCTGGTCTGGAATTCCCCCTTTTTTTGAGTGATGCTCTTTGTTTACTGTTCTGATTTTAAAGTTTTTAAATACTGATAGCCAGATTTTGTTTATTTTCATGGTTTCCTCCTTTCTGTTGAAATTGTCCACATGCTTGTGGATTTCAATGGCTTCTCTGTGTAGTCTGACATGGTGGTTGTGAGAGTGGTCCAGCATTTCTGTGTTCTCAAATAATCTGCTGTGTCCAGGTTGGTTCATCAGGTGCTCTGCTATGGCTGACTCCTCAGGTTGAATTGGTCTGTTGTTCCTTGATTCGTGTTTGGGCAATGCTGCTGCGTTTGGTGGTCCCTATGTAGAGTTGTCCACAGCCGCGTGGTATACGGAAGACTACTGAAAATAAACAAAATCTGGCTACCAGTATTAAAGAACTCTGAAATCAGGACAGTAAATAACAACACTCAAAAACAGGGAAATTCCAGACAAGGAACAATCAGGGCAGTTAATCGCCTCCCAACAAAGGATTCCCCAAGGCAATATTTATTAATTTCTAATATTTGTACCCTGCCCTTCTCTACTCAGGGCGGCAACAATTCGATGCCCCCCATATACAACAGATAAAGCAACAGTTGCATAATAAGTAAAACATTCAAATTACATTTAAAACCATTTAAAATAGTGCAAATTGAATTAATTGGAATGTCAATCCGAGTTCTACAATCAACAATTTAATTCGAAGCCTGTCCATTGTCCATTTTCCATTGCACTGTCGTCATTTTTATTGTCGGCCTGCTATCCGAATGTCTGGTCCCATAGCTACGTCTTCAACTTTTTCCTGAAGGAAAGGAGAGGGAAGCCATTGACCTAATTTCGCTGGGGAGAGAGTTTCACAGGCGGGGGGCCACCACTGAGAAGGCCCTGTCCCTCGTCCCCACCAAGCGCATTTGCGACGAGGGTGGGATCGAGAGCAGAGCCTCCCCAGAAGATTGTAAGTTTTGAGGTGGGACGTAGGGGGAAATACGTTCAGACAAGTAAGCTGGGCCAGAACCTTGACAAGTAGGCAGCCAGACCTTGAAGTTGCAATGCTATTGAATGCTAATCAAGCTGGTCAATTGCAACACTCATACCTGCCTCAAATGGACAGAAATTCTTCCTCCCACCCTAGACATTTCAGATATATAAACATCACAACATCTGAGGATGCCTGCCACAGATGTAGGTGAAACGTCAGGAGAGAATGCTTCTGGAACATGGCCATACAGCCCAAAAAACACACAGCAACCCAACTTTCTCATTTGCACTAGGATGCAAGTCAAGGATGGCTGGAACATGTAATAAGGTGTGATTCAGCACTCACCTTTTGTCTCACGTGGCTCAAGCCTCTTAGCAAATTAACAATGAAACCTTCCAAGAGCGATCCGCTCAGTTAACCCAATATAGAAACCTGCTTGTATAGACGTATTTAAAAAGAGCATGCAGTGCAAATCTATCCATTTATAGACGCAGAAGCATAGGTTTGTAATCCAGAACATTTCCTACAGTATATATTGAGGAGGATAAGCAGAATCTAGTCAGTTGCAGTGACCTTTAAACGTGCTTTAACCAAGCTTATGTGGAAATCGATATAAATAAAAATGTAATGTTCGTTTGTGGGATTAACAGAACTAAAAAAACCATTGGACGAATTGACACCAAATTTGGACACAAGACACCTAACAACCCAATGTATGTCCTGCACTCAAAAAAATAATTTTGTCATTTGGGAGTTGTAGTTGCTGGGATTTATAGTACACCTACGATCAAAGAACATTCTGAACTCCCCCAGTGATGGAATTGAACCAGTCTTGGGACACAGAACTCCCATGATCAACAGAAAATACTAGAAGGGTTTGGTGGGCATTGACCTTGAGTTTGGGAGTTGTAGTTCACCTACATCCAGAGAGCACTTTGGACTCAAACAATGATGGATCTGGACCAAACTTGGCACGAATCCTCAATTTGCCCAAATGTGAGTACTGGTGGACTTTGGGGGAAATAGACCCTGACATTTGGCAGTTGTCGTTTCTGGGATTTATAGTTCACCTACAATCAAAGAGCATGCTGAACCCCACCAACGACAGAATTGGGGCAAATTTCCCACATAGAACCCCCATGACCAAGAGAAAATACTTAAGGCCATCCAGTCCAACTCCCTTCAACAGGGCAAGAAAATGTAATCAAAGCCCTCCTGACAAAGAGCCATCCAGCCATAGAGATAGATAGAGATATATGATTCACACACACAGAGAGATATAATATCATAGATGTAAAAGGGATATAGATATGATTCACACACAGAGATATATAGTATCATAGATTTGAAAGGGACCCCTAAAGAAGGACAATTATGTGTTGCATGTTCCAGAGTAGGCAAACCAGACACTCTCCACACCAACCCTGACAAAGAAACAAGGAATTGTTTATCCACAAGCAGAAAGACATGACATATATTAGAAACCATTACTTTATTTTCCATATCATCAGACTGGGCCACAGCAACGTGTGGCAGGGGATGACTAGTTGTATCTATAAAATGAATGCTGGAATATATTGAGCTTTGTTACATGGGTGGCTCTGTATACTAGTAAAAAAGGAATAGTCACGACATGGCAGTGCCATTCCTTCCCTGCAGCAAAATAGAATGACTCTGGGCTTCTCGTTGTCAGTTCTGAAACGGCTAAAGGTTTTCTATACAACTCCATTGCCCAGTTTGCTGCCTGAATTATATAATGTCATTACGCTTACTTGCAAGTAGGACTCCCCAACATTTGGCTCATAGACCCCTGAAAGAGTGTTTGGATAGGACTCGGGCCCCATCTACACTGCCACATAATTGAGCTGTAGCACAGCTAGTTAGTAACCAGCTGCATTAATTCACTACTTACTGAGAGGTCATGAGTTCAAAGCCAGCCCAGGTTGGAGTAAGCTCCCGACCATTAAGTCTTGCTTGCTGTCAACCTATGCAGCCTGAAAGATAGTTGCATCTGTCAAGCAGTTAATTTAGGTACCGCTTTATGTGAGGGGGCTAATTTAACTAATTTACAATGCCATAAGACCTTCCAGCAGCGTGCAGAATGAGGAAGAACTCCATCAAAGGACCCGGTGTCACAAGTGGCGGCCTTCCAGGTGGCAGCGATTTGATGCCAAGACATATAAATATACTGGGAAGCCCTGGCCCTTGAGAGCGCCAGCTGGAGGTTAGCTAGGACCTGCAGTGCTGCAGAATTTGAAGAGGCACAAATGGAGGGCGAAAGAGAAACATGCCAAGAGGAAGGCGTGTCAAGCCAACCCCAACCGAGACCGCCTCCCACCTGGAAACCAATGCCCTCACTGTGGGAGAAGATGCAGGCCAAGAATAGGGCTCCACAGTCACCTACGAACCCACCCCCAGGACACCGAACTTGGAGGATCATCATCCTCGGACTACGAGGGATCGCCTAAGTAAGTATATAAACATAATCCAGTTTCTGAGTCAAATTATCTTTGAACTGGATTATATGGCAGTGTAGATACAGCCCCATGGGTCTGTAAAGCAGAAATACAAACCAATCCTTTACCATCATTTCCTTCTTGCACGCATCCCCAAGTGTTTCTTGAAATTATTCTGCATCGACATACACAAGACTTGTAATGTATTGTCGAAGGCTTTCATGGCCGGAATCACTGGGTTGTTGTAGGTTTTTTCACTACCTCTGAGGATGCTTGCCATAGATGCAGATGAAATGTCATGAGAGAATGCCTGTAGAACATGGCCAAATAGCCCGAAAAAACCTACAACAACCCAAGACTTGTAATGTTTTGTGCAAAAATAGCTTCCAGGTTGCCATGTGTATTTTATTTACTTACTTACTTACTTAGTTTATATACCGCTTTTCTCAGCCCTTGGGCGACTTTTCCTATGTTTTTCTCACTGAAGAAAAAACTGTCCCTGTGAAAAAATAATGTCCTGATTATTTTGAGGTCTATGAATACCAGAGTAGTGTGAGCCCCTGGTAGCAGAATGGGTTAAACCCTTGTACCAGAAAGACTGCTGATCTATGGTTCAAATCCAGAGGTTGGGGTGAGCTCCCGTCTGTCAGCTCCAGCTTCTCATGCGAGCACATGATAGAAGCCTTCCACAGGATGTTAAAACATCCGGGCATCCCTTGGGCAACGTCCTTGCAGACTGCCAATTCTCTCACACCAGAAGTGACTTGGGGTTTCTCAAGTCACTCCTAACATGGGGGAAAGAAAAGGTGAGCTGTGAAGAAATACTATTTTTCTTTGCAATGAGAACAAAACTGTGGAAATTACCAATCCTCACTGGCAAGTATGAGAGAGTCAAATATTAACTTCCGTGGAAACTACTGAATTTCAGGATAAATGCCCCCACTTTTATACCACTAGCACAAAAACAAGCCTTTTACAGAATTAGTAACTTTTAATACAACTGTTAGAAGAAATCAGCATTTATAAAATCAGTTACAGTAAGGAATGCTTCTATAGTTGGAAACACACAGGGAAGCAGCGCTCTCTTTTTAAAGAAGTGCAAAGCAAGTTGGTGGAAATGTATGACTTAACCAGAATGAATAAATTAAGTGCAGTTAGGGATAGGGACCATAGTCAAAGACCAGACAAAATTCTACAGAGAAGTGAAAACTAATTAGTGTAATTTATTATGCATACTATACAGGGCAGGTGGTGATATGGACCAACTAAGATTTTCATCGTTTCAGCATCAGAAATGCATTAAGGAACGTATCAAACCAAATGGTTATTTTGCGACCTCTGCACGCCCTCTCCTCCTATGGCAATGAAGAATGAAGAAATGGGATGGGAATGAGGGGAAGAACACTTCGGAATCCGCTCATTACTTCACGAGTTACTATTGGACAGAGTCTGATGGCTACAACAGACCGGTCTTCGTTATAGACATCCTTAAGCACTACTAACCACCGCATAAAGGGAATTGATTGCTAAACTATAGTGCAGATAGATCTCTGAAAAAGGTCATTTATCAAATGGTAAAACTCATATTATACAATATGTACACAAGCTTTGAATTCCTCTAGTTGGAGTCAGCTGAAGGTTGGAAGTGAGCCATCCATTGGATCTTCCACAGTGGTTGTTGATCTCGCTCTTTGTGTCCATAAACAGCACAGATGACCCAACTATCTTCAGTTCTTGAGGGTTATCCAGAGTCACGGAGTCAACCAAGATTAACGGGGTTGGTTCCCTGGTATGTTCTCATGGTGTGTGTTTTCTTTACATAGTGTGTTTTCTTTACATAAGTCTTAACAGTTCAATTCACTGGTGGACATCAACAATTTGCACGGTCACAGTAATCATACAAAAGCAACCTAAAACTGGGGCAACGGAATGTCCAGATTTGCGTGGCTATTTATCCCTCCCGACATATCACACAAGGATCTGGTGTAACAGCAATCAGAAAATATGCCAAGCCGCTCCTCTGTTACAAACTATTTGTCTTAAGTGACAAGTCGGTTCTCAAAAGGCTCTCAATCATGTAAAAATAAATTGAATGTTTTCTATGACAGTTGTTTATAAAGCCAATAATATGTCACCTTGTTTTTGTTTTCGCCGTAAATATTCTGTGAATATTTTATGAATTCAGTATACGAGAGGGGAGAGTAAACCTAAATTAACTACCATTAGAATTGGCCTTTCTACATTTCAACCCAGAAAAAAAAGAGAACCGATATGCTACAGAAGCATGTTCCTCTACAACAGACCAGGGAATGGCATTATCTTACACAAACAGCCCTAAACCTATTACCCACACATTAAAATATATCCACTTTTGGTATATGATCAAGTTACACTTATTTGAAAGTCAAGAGAGGGATAAGTCAATGGGAGATTGAGCTCAGTGTCTTCGAAATCCAGATATTTAGATTTGTATTACTGGTTGGAGTTACCTAATATCAAGTGGGTTTGTTTTGCAGTAGTTCTCAACCTGTGGGTCCCCAGATGTTTTGGCCTTCAACTGGTAAACTGGCTTGGATTTCTGGGAGTCATGGGCCAAAACACCTGGGGATCCACAGCATGAGAACCACCGTGTTAAAGGGATTTTAAAGCGAACAGATTGCATCTAACAGTGATCCTGGAAAAGTTAAACATACTAACCATGGAGAATGTCATCACACTAGAGAAAAAAAATCCACTTAAAATCCGGTTTCTGCCTCCTGCAGAATTCTTCTGTTTGTAGTTTATTGAGGCTGTTAAAGTCTCCTCCCTGAACTATAAACCCCAGAATTCTGCAGGAGGCAGAAACTGGATTTTAAGTGGATTTTTTCTCTAGTGTGATGAGGTCCTTAATGTAACAAATGAACACCGCCCTTAGTGCTGCTATTCTTAAAAATCGAAATGGCTGACAGCATTATTCACTAAGAATAAAGATGGAAGAGAAACAACAATAAGAAATTCCTCTGAAACCCAAAACGTCTTGACTAGGCTTTGCATATGTGTGAAATATCCATCTGAACCCAGTATATAGTCCCTCCTGAAACATTTATAGCATAAAGTGACAAAACACACTTCTATTTTCAAATGACAGAATTAGCATGATTACCATGGATAATGATGTCTACAAACATGTAACCACTATTACCTTCACTTCACATTCCAGAGAGCTTTTCTAGATTGGTTTGACCAATGACATAATGTTTTTTATGTTGAGAATAACAGCAAGGTTCACTCACATTTTCATATTTCAAATATCCTGAAATCCATACATGTTTTCACAAGTTATAAATGCCAAAATATGTCAGAAAGCAAATATAGTACGTCGCATTGAAACATGGTAGAGCAGTGGTCCTCAACCTGTAGGTCCCCAGGTATTTGGTCTACAACTCCCAGAAATCCCAGCCAGTTTACCAACTGTTAGGATCTCTGGCAGTTGAAGGCCAAAACATCTGGGGACCCACAGGTTGAGAACCACTGTGGTAGAGAGTGTGGTCTACAAGCTGCTTGTGATACACTTGACATTAAACGTAGTTCCTCTGACATGGAACTACTTTAGGTACACTAGGCTTAAGTGTTCTGCGGGACTTTTAACACAACATAATTTTTACGCTATATTCCATTTCCATGGCTTGACCATATCCCATTGACTTCTGGGATGTGTAGTTTGCTAAAGAACTATGGCTCTCCAGCAGAGTCCAAGTAACTCTCTCCTTAAATTGCAAATCCCACAGGATGAGGTCAAGGAAGTGAAAGTGGAATATAGTGGTATAACTGTATAGCGTAAAAGGACTTCGTGGTATACATTTTTAACCTATAGCATGGTATTTTAGGTGGTTTTGATAACCTTTTACTTTGAGGAGTTGAATCAAATGAATATTGTGTTCTCCAAAGGTACGGAATTATTTGTGCTTCCAGTTGGCACTTTTTTTAAAATGTAAAGTCAACAGAGAGTTGCAAAAATTGTGCAAAAGGGTCTTATTTACATAAAATGGCACAAAAGTGAATTCAGCCTACGCACATGCTCACCTCATCCACTTCAAAAACGGGTTCTACGCTACGGGACCAAAAGGGATACCAGCTTCAACAGCAGTTGTCAATAAGCACGAGGTCTACAAGAAGTACGCCAAAAATGAGCAAATATTGCCCAAGTAAAAAAATCTATTGTTAAAGCTGAAGTAGGTTTAAGGCCATTCAAGTTCATGAGCAGATACACAAATTAAGTCAGAGCCCCATCTTCTTTAATACATGCTTTACCTTCTAGCAACTTGCAATCTAAAAACCTCTAGTTTACAAAACCAAAACACAGGGAGAAACACAACAGGAGGATCTATTCAGTACAAACCAAATACTCTGTTAAACAAAGAGAACGAAAGAAAGCAAGAACCAAGGGAAGCAGAAACGTGAAACAATTTCCAAACGTTCTGTGTCACTTGCTGGAACCAGCCCTATGCTAGCAGATATGCGATATATGTACATTTTTCAAGTAGATTACGTTGCTTCTAACAAATTGTGTCCTTTCTGTATCAGTGCATCGTTCTCAACTCATCTGAGGAATACATAAACGAATTTTCAAGAGGAGTCTCTTACAATAGCAGCACACGCTACCACTACCTGCAAAGCGGTCAGTCAATGACTTAGTGGAAACAAAAAAGGTGAGAAGTAACTATTAAGGAAAGAATAAGGGAATGAGAAGATTCATGCAGTCCTGCCCGTTTAGTCAGCCAGCCAGCTTACTGGCCACAAGAGATGGTTTCCGCTGTGGAAGGTCCTGAGGGGTAGGAATGTGATCCCCTGTCACTTCAGTCTTATCAGGAGCGGCGGTAGGGAGCTGCTTGTTCTTCATCTTTGCTTTTGCCATATTGTAATCCCCAGAGTCAAAATACTTTTGCTGCAAAGGAAAAAGCCAAGGAAATGAGTGAAAGGCAATACTGAATACAATACTGAGGAATCACCTACTAAATTGATATTCATACGGGGATTCAGAAAACTAGAGCACATCACTGCACAGAACAGTCACTACTTATTTATTTACTACATTTATATGCTGCTTTTCTCCCCCTAAGGGAACTCAAAGCGGTTTCCAACATTATAAAGGCAAAATTCAATGCCTAACACAGAGTTCCTCAAACTTTTTAAAGAGGCCCAGGTCACAGTCCCTCAAACTGTTGGGGGGCCAGATTATAAGTTGGGAAAAAAACATGAATAAATTCCTATGCACGTATCTTATTTGTAGTGCAAAAACACTTAAAAACAATACAATAATTAAAATGAAGATCAATTTTAACAAATATAAGCTTATTAGTATTTCAGTGGGAAGTGTGGGCCTCCTTTTGCCTGATGAGATAGGATTGCTGTTGTTGTTGTGTGCTTTCAAGTCATTTCAGACTTAGGTTGACCCTGAGTGAGGGCCGGGTAAATGAACTTGGGCCGTAGTTTGAGAAACCCTGCAATAACATATTACTAAAAATTAACCAAATTAAAACATAAACATAAAATAACATTTAGACATAAAGCATAAAAAATTAAACATCGATAATATAATAACATTTATATTAAAGCCCACTGATAAACAACACAATTTAAAAACAGTAATTAAAATCACGTCATCAAATATCAAGTCCATAGTCATTCCATTGGCCCATTCACTATTCCTTATTATCTTATTGCACTACGCGCTTTGCGGGTTGTTTTTTTCTTTCTTCCTGAATGTCAGGAAGGAGGGAGCTACTATAGGAGGGAGTTCCATAGCCAAGGAGCCATCACTGAGAAGGCCCTTTCTCTCATCTCCACCAGTCGTACTTGCGAAGAAGGTAGAATCAAGAGCAGGGCCTTCCAGAAGATCTTAATCTTTGAGGTAGATCACAGAAGGTGGTACGTCCTGACAGGTAAGCTGGGCCGGTCAAATTTATCCTGTCCAAATTGGTAAAATGCTGAGAAAGTTGACATTACTATTTATTGTCGAAGGCTATTGACATTACTATTATCAAACATCTGCGATTGCTTACAGTGTATGAACAATGCAGGCAAGTACGAGAATAGACAACAGCCTGAAATTAACTATTCTGAAACCTGGAAAACCTTAAGGAATGTGTTATAGGATTTGTAGGTACTAGGATGTATAGTTCACCTGTAATCTAAGAAGGTAAGATTCTGGATGCAGACATCTTCTCGGCTGAAAATTTTCTGCAAGAAGGATCATTCCTTGGATATATATACTCAAGCTACTAACAATTCTGACTACTATTGCTATGGCTAAATACTCTTGTAATGTAACCTGAAGATACATTAACAGCTCATCTGCTTTTCTTTTAATTTGTTTCTCCTTCAGACAGACTTAGTGGAATATTAATTCGTGTCATGCCAGGCAGTGTAAGATTCAAATATCTGTTCAGCTATAAAGCTCATGGAAACACAGCGCCGGTTAATATTTATTCGGAACTAGAACAACATTAAGCACGTTTTTTCAGAAAGGGCAACAAGCTGAAGGAAATGACTACCACTCAGAAAACATGCCAGATTAAACCAGTTCAAGAGAGATAATGTTAAAGAACACAAGATTTTTAAAGTGTCAAATTTAATGATAGTATTGAGGAAATATCAACTATGAATTCCAAATTCATGATTACCAATTCAATCATTGTACAGCAGGTTTTAAAGCAAGTTTTGCTTTAAATAACCAGACAGATTAAAAGGCTCTCCTTTCTCAGACAGCTTAACACAGTGTTGGCTAGTCTTACTCACTCCTTTTTGGAGCCGCTTCCTCAAGAAATCTGAGCCACCGGGCTTTTGTCCCAGATGAGGGTATCTGGCTTTCAACTTTGCTTCTTCAGCCTTCTCAGGACTAATCACTTTGTCTTCCATTTCCTGAATACATAAAGAATTAATATTTATACCGTTTCACTAATCCTTCTTAAGATGCTTTGCTTATTCAACTAAAGTCAAACCAAGTTAAATAACAATAAATAATAATAATAATACTTTATTTGTACCCCACTACCATCTCCCCAAGGGACTTGGAGCGACTTACATGAGGCCAATCCCACAGTACATCAATAAATAAAAGCAATAACAAAACAATCAAAGCAATACAATTAATATGAATCACATAACAAAAAAATAAACAATAAATCAACAGTAACACACAAGCATTTAAAACCAATGGCCGGGCCAAATGTAATAGAATAAAATTAAAAATAATGCTGGACATGGACAAGGTAGACTATAACTGGGGTAGAATTTTCAAGAAGAGATGAAGGAATGCAATCAATCTCAAATCAATGGTAAAGTGCATTTTGAGGGTATATTGCTGAGGGTTTTCCTTATTCTGGGAAAACACACTGGAACAACCACGTTTTCAGGCTCCTCCTAAAGACTGCCAGAGTTGGGGCATGTCTGATGTCCTTAGAAAGTGAGTTCCAGAGTTGAGGGGCCACCACTGAGAAGGCCTTCTCCCTCTTTCCCACCTAACGCGCCTGCGAAGGAGGTGGGAGCATGAGAAGGGCCTCTCCAGATTATCGAAGAGATTGTGTGGGTTCGTACACAGAAATGCGGTCACGCAGGTAGGCGGGCTTCTTATAGAAATGGCTTATTATAGAAATTTGAACTACCATCTCTACCAACTCTCTATCATTCACACGTTTAAATACTAAAGCATTCGATTAGTAAACTCAATTGAGATTGCTTAGCAACTACTTCCCACAAGACTATGAGCTTCATCTAGGAGTAAGGCAATTCTGAGTTAACAAGAGGATATGCAATTTGAAAATGGCAAATTAAACATTTTGGCTTTTCTCACAGGACCCTTGGTCCCATTCTGACTGAAAGCTATCACAATTCTGACTGATAAGCCATTTGATTTTACAAAAGCCTCCCTCCACATCTAAGATACTCCACAGACAACACACATTTTCCCATATTTCCTTCATCTTAAAAAAAAGAACTTCAGTGGGTGATGAAACATGAAAAGTTATAAACTTTTGTTAATTTGTTGTTTTAATTATCTAAATGATAATAATAACATATTTTAGTGTTGTTTTTAACAACCTTTAGTGACTGATTACAACCCAAACTGCTTTAGAACACACCTTTCATGTCAGAAATGAAATCCCGGTTAAATTAATGGCAACAGAGTAAAACTAAGGCTATGCTAATAATATAATATAGTGTATATAAGGTAAAGGTTTCCCCTGACATTAAGTCTAGTCGTGGGGGTGGTGCTCATCTCCATTTCTAAGCCGAAGAGCCGGCATTGTCCTTAGACACCTCCAAGGACATGTGGCCAGCATGATGGCATGGAGAGCTGTTACCTTCCCGCCAAGGTGCTACCTACTGATCTACTCACATTTGCATGTTTTCAAACTGCTAGGGTGGGAGAAGCTGGGCCTAACAGCGGGGGCTCACTCCGCACCTCACATTCGAACCATGAACCTTTTGGTCAGCAAGTTCAGCAGCTCAGCAATTTAACCCACTACACCACCAGGGGCCCTATACTCTATAAACATTTATAATATTATAACATGATCCAGTAAAATACTTAGTCTCCTTTTTTGAATAGTTCTATGGTTTGTACTGTATTTTATACTTTTTTGCTATGTATATGTCAAAAAAGGCTTATTGGATTGGACAATATAATACTAATAACAATACAACATAATAATATATAATAATATAGTGATATAGTAATACTATTAAATATAATTACTACACTGTTTTTAGTGTATACTAGCTGTCCCCTGCCACGTGTTGCTGTGGACTGGTTTGTGTATATGTGTTTTGTGTGTTTATATATGTGTATATGTGTGTGCATGGTTTTGCACATGCGTTGTAATGCATTTGGGGGGGGTTGCCTTTTTAAGCCCCTTCTGCTGTGTTTTTCAGTGTTTTTATGAGTGATGACCATTTGTTGGCATGATAGGTATATTGCGTCGAAATTTGGTGTCAATTCATCCCATGGTTTTTGAGTTATGTTACTCCCACAAACAAACATTACATTTTTATTTATATAGACTAGCTGTCCCCTTGCTGTGACCTAGTCTGTATGTGTGTGTGTGTGTATGTATGTATATATATGTGTGTGTGTGTATAAATGTGGTTTTAATGTGTTTTTTATTTTTTGTCTTTTTAAGTCTCTTCTGCTGAGGTTTTCAGTCTTTTTATGAGTGATGGTCACTTATTGGCCTGATAATATTGTGTCCAAATTTGGTATCAATTCATCCAGTGGTTTTTGAATTATTTTAATCCCACAAACAAACATTACATTGGGTTGTTGTAGGTTTTTTTCCGGGCTATATGGCCATGTTCTAGAGGTATTCTCTCCTGATGTTTCGCCTGCATCTATGGCAAGCATTCTCAGAGGTAGTGTTTGCCATAGATGCAGGCGAAACGTCAGGAGAGAATGCCTCTAGAACATGGCCATATAGCCCGATAAAACCTACAACAACCCAGTATTTATTTATTTGTGTCAGGAGCAACCAGACAGTTGTATTACATTTTTAACAAAACAAACAAACAAACAAACAAAAACACAAAGTTTGCAAGCTTGGTAGTTGGTTAAATGTCCTTTGACCAGTATCTGGCCACTTGGAGTGCCTCTGGTGTTGCCGCAAGGAGGTCCTCCATTGTGCATGTGGCAGGGCTCAGGTTGCATTGCAGCAGGTGGTCAGTGGTTTGGTCTTCTCTACACTCACATGTCGTGGATTCCACTTTGTGGCCCCATTTCTTAAGGTTGGCTCTGCATCTCGTGGTGGCAGAGCGCAGTCTGTTCAGCGCCTTCCAAGTCGCCCAGTTTTCTGTGTGCCCAGGGTGGAGTCTCTCATTTGTATCAGCCATTGGTTGAGGTTCTGGGTTTGAGCCTGCCACTTTTGGACTCTCGCTTGCTGGGGTGTTCCAGCAAGTGTCTCTGTAGATCTTAGAAAACTGATTGATTTAAGTTGTTGACGTGCTGGCTGATACCCAAACAGGGATGAGCTGGAGATGTCTCTGCCTTGGTCCTTTCACTATTGGCTGCTACTTCCCGGATGTCAGGTGGTGCAATACTGGCTAAACAGTGTAATTTCTCCAGTGGTGTAGGGCGCAGACACCCCGTGATAATGCGGCATGCTCATTAAGAGCCACATCTACTGTTTTAGCGTGGTGAGATGTGTTCCACACTGGGAATGCATACTCAGAAGCAGAGTAGCATAGCGCAAGGGCAGATGTCTTCACTGTGTCTGGTTGTGATCCCCAGGTTGTGCCAGTCAGCTTTCGTATGATATTATTTCTTGTATCCACTTTTGCTTGATATTCAGGCAGTGCTTCTTGTAGGTCAGGGTGACTCCCAGGTATTTGGGTGCGCTGCAATGCTCCAGTGGGATTCCTTCCCAGGTCATCCTCAGAGCTTGGAATGCTTGTCTGTTCTTGAGATGAAAGGTGCATGCCTGTGTTTTAGATGGATTAGGGATCATCTGGTTTTCCCTGGAATAGGCCGTAAGAGCACCTAGAGCTTCGGAGAGCTTCTGTTCGACCATCGCAAAGCTCCCTGCTTGAGCGGTGATGGCACGATCATCAGCATAGATGAAACTCTCTGTTCCTTCTGGCAGTGGCTGGTCATTTGTGTAAATGTTGAACATGGATGGATCAAGCACGCTCCCCTGAGGCAGGCCGTTCTTCTGTTTCTGCCCTCAGTGATTCCGGCCATGAAAGCCTTCGATAATACATTGAACATTACACTTTTATACTGTATATATATGGTTTTACCCATGCGCTGTAATGTGGTGGGGTTTTTTTTTTTGTTTTTTGTCTTTTTAAGTCTCTTCTGCTGTGTTTTTCAGTGTTTTATGAGTGATGGTCAGTTGTTGGCCTGGTAGGTATATTGTGTCCAAATTTGGTCTCAGTTTGTCCAAATTTGGTCTCAGTGTGTGTATATATGTGTATATGTGTGTGTATATATTTGTGCATATGTGTGTTTGTGTATATATGTGGCTTTGCGCATGGGTTGTAATGTGTGTGTGTGGTTGTTTTTTTTTTTTTTTGTCTTTTTAAGTCTCTTCTGCTGTGTTTTTCAGTCTTTTATGAGTGATGGTCAGTTGTTGGCCTGGTAGGTATATTATGTCCAAATTTGATCTCAGTGTGTGTGTATATATGTGTATGTATATATTTGTGCATATGTGTGTTTGTGTATATATGTGGCTTTGCGCATGGGTTGTAATGTGTGTTTTTTTATATATTTTTTGTCTTTTTAAGTCTCTTCTGCTGTGTTTTTCAGTGTTTTATGAGTGATGGGTCACTCGTTGGCCTGGTGGGTATATTGTGCCCAAATTTGGTGTCAATTCCCCCAGTGGTTTTTGAATTATGTTAATCCCATGAACGAATATTACATTTTTATTTATATTTATTTATTTCTCAGTTCTTGTGGGTTTTTTCGGGCTATATGGCCATGTTCTAGAGGCATTTCTCCTGACGTTTTCGTCGTCCTTTCTGTTGAAATTGTCCACATGTTTGTGGATTTCAATGGCTTCTCTGTGTAGTCTGACATGGTGGTTGTGAGAGTGGTCCAGCATTTTTGTGTTCTCAAATAAAATGCTGTGTCCAGGTTGGTTCATCAGGTGCTCTGCTATGGCTGATTTCTCTGGTTGGAGTAGTCTGCAGTGCCTTTCATGTTCCTGGATTCTTGTTTGGGCAATGCTGCGTTTGGTGGTCCAGTTTTTTTTGGGCGCTGCGTTTTTTCCCCAGTTTCCAGCAGACCTCACCTCTGAGGATGCTTGCCATAGATGCAGGCGAAACGTCAGGAGAAATGCCTCTAGAACATGGCCATATAGCCCGAAAAAACCCACAAGAACTGAGTGATTCCAGCCACGAAAGCCTTCGACAATTTACTTACTTACTTACTTACTTTATTTGTATACCGCTCTTCTCAGCCCTTAGGTGACTCAGAGCGGCTTACAACAATTTAGGTATACACAATACAAAACCATTAAGCATTTAAAAGCAATAGCATCACAAACCATTAAACATCAATATATAGATTTATTTACTGTTTTGTATCCCACCTTTCTCAGCTCACAGGCGACTCAAGGCGGTTTACAGGGCAAAATTCAATGCCCACGATACCGTAAATACAATTAAAAACATTAACATATAATAAAAAATCGAGGCCTGGGCCAACTTGGGCCCTCCAGGGGTTTTGGACTCCAACTCCCACCATTCCTAACAGCCTCAGGCCCCTTCCTTTTCACCCTCAGCCGCTTAAGTTGGCCGAGGCCTAGTCTAAACCCTGTTGGAAAGGGAAGCCTTCCTCCTCAGCCCACCTGCCTGGCCTTCTCCTCCAGGCCAGGCCTCCGCCTCACCTTCTGCTCCTCGGCCGAAGTGGGCTCCGAGCTCTCCGCCGACATGGCTGCCTCCCCACCAACCGCGGCCTGCTCGCTTCCCCTTCCTCCGCCAGCGACGCCCCCGAAGCGAGGAAGGCCCTCAGCCGGCAAAGCGCAGCCGCCTCAACCGCGCACAAGATGGCCGCCCGCTTGTCGACGGCGAGCCGAGAGGTCCAAACTTCTTCTTTCTCGCCTTCCAGGCGTGTCTCTCTCTCTCTCTCTCTCACTCAACCCGAGAGCAAATGAATGAGGCCGCCCGCGAAAGAGGCGGGGTTTGGCGGAGGTCTCGCGAGACCTCGGCTTTCACGCGTCATCTTCCCAGCCTCTTTCGCCCATGGCATGCTGGGAAGGGTAGTCTTGTGGGGATTCTGAAGGAGAGGGCTTCCGCTTCTGAGGTCGAGCCCAATCTGGGGCCTTGAGGCCTTTGGGTGTTTGGAACTAAAACTCCCGCAAGGCCTAACAGCATGCCGGCTTAAGGCATTCTTTAAAATGGGGAGTGTTTGGGTTTTTGGGAGCTCGTTTGCTGGGTCTTAAGAGGCAGCCATATAGAGGTGTATATATACATACAAACACACACACACCAGGCATGAACAAACTTCAGCCATATATGTTTGTGTGCGTGTGTATACATACACACACACACACCAGGCATGTGTGTATATGTATGTATATATGTGTGTGTATGTGTGTATGTATATACACACACATATATATACATACACACACACCAGGCATGTGTGTATATGTATATATATGTATGTGTGTATGTATGTATATACACACATATATATATACATACACACACACCAGGCATGTGTGTATATGTATATATATGTATGTGTGTATGTATGTATATACACACACATATATATATACATACACACACACCAGGCATGTGTGTATATGTGTATATATATATATATGTATATGTATATATGTATGTATGTATATACACACATATATATACATACACACACACCAGGCATGGGCAAACTTCAGCCATATGTATGTGTATGTATGTATATATGTGTGTGTGTGTGTATATATATATATATATATATACACATATACATACTGTATACACATACACACATATAGCTGAAGTTTGCCCGTGTGTGTGTTTATATATATATATACACTGTATACACCCCACACACACACATATATATATATATACACATAATTCTTCTGGAGACATAAAGCAAGGTATAAGAAGGGCTTTCATGAAAGATTACCCCGGACCCACTTCTATTTATCATCGGATGTTGAAACTGCACATGTGTAATGATATAAGTCTCTAGAGGTGATGTGCCAATTTACAGCTCAGAACTGAGAACGGCCTTGATTGTACAGGTGCTGAAGTGGTGTGAGGTTTAATCATGGACCCAGTGGAAGACAGAGCAGTCCTCAAGTTCCGTTACTTGAAAGGCCACACACCAATGATGAAAGAGGTTTATGGTGATGATTCCCCCTTGCGCTATGCTACTTTGCTGCTGAGTAGGCATGCCCAGTGTGGAACACATCTCACCACACTAAAACAGTGGATGTGGCTCTTAATGAGACATGCCGCATTACCACGGGATGTCTGCGCCCTACACCACTGGAGAAATTACACTGCTTAGCCGGTATTGCACCACCTGACATCCGCCGGGAAGTAGCAGCCAATAGTGAAAGGACCAAGGCAGAGACATCTCCAGCTCATCCCGTTTGGGTATCAGCTAGCACGTCAACGACTTAAATCCAACATAGTTTTCTAAGATCTACAGAGACACTCGCTGGAACACCTCAGCAAGCGAGAGTCCAAAAGTGGCAGGCTCAAACCCAGAACCTCAACCAATGGCTGATACCAAATGAGAGACTCCCCCCTGGGCACACAGAAAACTGGGCGACTTGGAAGGCGCTGAACAGACTGCGCTCTGGCACCACGAGATGCAGAGCCAACCTTAAGAAATGGGGCTACAAAGTGGAATCCTCGATATGCGAGTGTGGAGAGGAGCAAACCACTGACCACCTGCTGCAATGCAACCTGAGCGCTGCCACATGCACAATGGAGGACCTTCTTGCAGCAACACAGAGGCACTCCAAGTGGCCAGATACTGGTCAAAGGACATTTAATCAACTACCAAACTCACACATTTTGTATTTTCTCTGTTTGTTTGCTTTGTTCTGTTAGAAATGTAATATAATTGACTGGCTGCCCTGACACGAGAAATAAATAAATGATGAGTCAAGAACTCGCATCATCCATTCAAATGTGGTTGGACTTTGGTGCAAGCAGCTCCAATTCCAGGGCGACCCCTCTCTGCTCTTGATGAACACACCATCCAGCAAGTGGAGGTTACCATTTTGGAAAATTGCCGCTTATCCATTTGCCACCTAGCCCAAAATGTCAAGATGAGTGTGGGGTCCGTGGAAAAAATCACCCAAGACCATCTTCAGATGCATAAGATATCTTCTCGCTGGGTCCCCCGGCTGCTCACACCTTTCCAGAAGCAGGAACTAGTCCAATGCTCTCAGGCTCTCTTGACGATGATGTACCATGGAAACCAGGAGGACTTTTGTCAACAGAGTGATCATACAGGAGGAAAGCTGGGTCCATCACTCAGATCCCAAGACTAAAGTCCAGTCAATGCACTGGAGGCATCCTGACTCACCACCTCCAAAGAAGGCACGTGCCCAATTCTCGGCAGGCAAGGTCATGCTCACAGTCTTTTGGGACCAGCACGGAGTAGTGTTGATAGATTTCCTAGCAAAGGGCACCAGGATCACTGGAGCATATGATGCTCCACTGCTGCGGAAATTGTGGGAGGCCATCAAAACCAAGAGACAATGTGGCATGCTCACCAAAGGTGTCCCTTGCCTTCTGCAAGGCAATGCACTCACCCGTTGCCCAAATGGACGCATACCACTCTGGCTTTGAAATTCTACCACATCTCCCTGATTCACCCAACCTTGCACCATCGGACTTCCACCTCTTTCCAACCATGAAGTTATTTTAGAATAGCAAGCATTTCTCAGGTGACGAGACTCTGATTTCCAAAGTCACAACGTGGCCTTTGGAGCAACCTTTGGAGCAAGGTGTTTACAGTTGCTTAAAAAGATGGGAGAAGTGTGTGTCCCTAAGTGGCACCGATCGAGAGAAGGACTCAGAACTGGACCAAGTTTTACTGCTCAAAGTGGCTTTTGAAGAGCTGCTCTAGGTTAAGGACACACCATGTCTTTTGAAAGTTTATGCTCAAAGAAGTCACTGTAAGAATGTACTGTCGTGTCAAAGCTGTCCATGGTTGAGTTTTTTGCAATTCGTATCTCTGTGTGTAAGTGCCTTCCAACACACCTATTGATTTATGGCAACCCCATGGATTTAATAGGGATTTTAAAGGAGGGCATATTACTCATAACAGAGTGAAATAGAAGAGGAAGCTTTCTACTGCCACCTCATGGCCCAGTAGGAGCAAAACACCATTAAGAGCACAAGGACTATCTATTCCAGGGGTCACCAAACTAAGGCCCACAGGCCAGATGAAGCCCTCCGTGGTCCTTGACCCGGGCTCTGACCTAAACTTTAGACTGAGGGTCACCCTAAGTCTGAACTGACTTGAAGGCACACAACAACAACAATAATCCTAATTAATTTGACTCTCTCATCAACCAAAAGCAGGCCAAACACTTCCCATTGAAACACTGGTAAGTTTATGTTGGTTAAAATTGTTCTTCCTTTAAAGTCAGTGGTTCCCAACCATTTTGATCAGGGACCACTCTCTAACATTAGTACCAAAAAGATTATGAATCAGTTTTCAGTCAACTTTAGATTCAGTTTAGTTGTTAGGGGTTAGGGTTGGGGTGCTGTCTCACTCGAGTTGTGGCTAAATTTGGCAGCAATTCGTCCAGTGGTTTTTGAGTTACGTTAATCCCACAAACATTTTTATTTATATAAATAAAAGTCAAAATACATACAGATGTATTTGCCAAGATGGCTCCCACATCTAGAGAGTAATGTGAATTCCACCAACAATGGATCTACATCAGACGTGGCACATAGACCCACCAGGGCCACATTTTAACAACTGGAGGGATTTGGTAGCGGAATTTACCCTGGATGATGGGAATTGTAGGTTGCCTCACATCCAGAGAGCACTGTGAATGCCACCATTGATGGATCTGAATCATCGTACCCATTATTTGTTTGTCTGCCATTATGCTTAGTTCTTATGTTTTGTGTATATTGTGTATATTGTTGTATATGCTTTGATGTTTTATATTTACTCTTATGTTGTTTATTTGATTGTAATTTGTATTGTTATAGTGTAATTTTTGTTCAGGCCTGGCCCCATGTAAGCCGCACCAAATCCCCTTTGGGGAGATGGTGGCGGGGTACAAATAAAGTTTATTATTATTATTATTATTATTATTATTATTATTATTATGGCCAACTTAACATACTGTGATGAGGTTTCGAGGGCAATGATGGGAGTTGTAGTTCGGCCACATCCAAAGACTCATATGTATCTTACATCTGGAGATTGATACGTGTTTTGAATAGGTCCACCATTCATAAAATCCAAACAATTGCTACTTCTAATATTTATCTTTCGGTATTTAACTCGGGCATCTCCAGATACTTAAGTTAGTCTCCAAATAAAACCAGAATTCCAACATTGCTGTTTTCACATATATTTAAGATATAAATACTACTTTGTTTTCACAGTACATCCTTTTTTAAAAAAAGAAAACACAGTCTGAGAAAGTCAGGAATGGGACAGTGATGTTTTTTGTAAAGTTATGGTACGGACCATTAGGACAAAGTGAAATGCTTTGAGGAGGGTTTTTTTTTAAAGGGGTGCAAATTATGAGTTGGATCAATGAGTTGAATGAGAAGTCAAATATCTCTGCAGTATGGGTGTCTGTGTTACCATGGGAAGGAAATGAGTAATATGAAGGGGAATAATTACACAACCCCCCTCCTCTTAACATGCTTTGCATAGTATGGTGATGCAATGGATGCCGATCAGAATCCCTTCCTAATTTTAAAGCAGCGTTAAGTATCTTAAAAACACGTCACACAGCAAAGTAAAGACTTTCTGTATATATTTCAGATTTCAATATTAATGTCAAAAATACGTAGTATGATTTTACATAGGATTTGTTCTACATTAGAACAGTCAAGACAAATATCACTTAAGTAAAATAAACATTAAATATTAAATAACCAGAAAAATAAAATAAGGTGTAAACACTAAACTAATCTGGGAATCTGCTATTGCAACACATCCAATGAAGTGGTTTAAAACCAGTATAAAAAAAAGATTAGGACTAAGTACGTTCCAGTCTACTTGGAATACACGAAGCTCATTCCAGAAGCGTGTTGAAGAACTGGTCCAAGAGTCCAGAAGAGCCTTGACTCCCCATGTGACCATCACCCCACTTTCTTTGCTAGTTAGCTTGTACCCAGTATGCTTTATTATCCCAATTGTTTGCCTTAGATAGTTGAACAAAGAGTTTTCATGGTTGCCTCTTGCTAGCATCGGGGTGAAAACTGGGGGTTTGTTGGCGATTCCGTGTAAGATTTGAGTTCGTATGCAGCGCCGCTGTCGACTTCCATGGATTTCCGAGAAAACAGGAGCCTTACGTCTCTGTAGAGGTAGATCTTTCCAGACTTTGAACTCTGGAACCTGGAGAGGAGAGTAATACATGCTAGTATTTGTTGGGGGGGGGGGGGGGGATTTTCAAAATGAAAAAAGCATTTTAAAATGTAAAGCAGCAACAACAGCATTAGCAGCAGTTCAGCAGATCAGAAGATTCTCATGTCAGCAGTAGAGTGACTGAGCTTCAGCAATTACAGGAGCAAAGTCAAGCTTTTTAAAAAGCTTTATAAATGATGTTATTCAAAGAACTATTTAACCACATAGGAAAGTAAACACAAGGCCTCACGGCAGACATCTTGTCTCTCTCCATGCTCACAGGAGAAGAACAAAATTAATAACTCAAGAACTTGCCGCGTGCTCAGGTGTGTCCCTGAGATGTATCAGTTTAACAAGAAAGGTGATAGGAGGAGGAGGAAAATGGGGAAATGGCTTTTCGCTGCAAACTAATTTATCTAAGACCTATGAAAGTCTTAAGGCAACAGATTACAGGAGCTGTTTTCATAGACCTGTCAGCACCTTCTCCTGAGAAAAACGTATAATATCACAAAGAACTACCACCTCACCTGGTTCATAGGAAATCTGTTACAAAATAGTAGTTTTTTTATGAGTTCCAGAGCCAGAGAAGCAGGTGGCAAAAATAGAAGAGCGGCCTGCCTCAGGGGAGTGTGATTGCTCCATCAATGGTTAATATTTATACAAATCATCAGCCACTTCCAGAAGGGACAGAGTGTTTCATCTATGCTGATGATCGTGCCATCACCACCCAAGCAAGGAGCTTTGAAATGGTTGAACAGAAGCTCTGCAAAGCTTTAGGAGCTCTTGCTGCCTATTACAGGGAAAACCAGCTGATTCCTAAACCATCTAAAACACAAACTTCAGCTTTATTCTAACCATCTATTGATTCCTCTTTTAATAAATAAAAGAAATTGTGTCATCTCTTTTACCTAATCCCTAATCTATCCAAAACACAGATGTGTGCTTTTCATCTTAAGAACAGACAAGCATCTCAAGCTGTGAGGATTATCTATGTTTTATCTATGCTGACGATCATGCTATCACCGCTCAAGCAAGGAGCTTTGAAATGGTTGAACAGAAGCTCTGCAAGGCTTTAGGAGCTCTTGCTGTCTATTCCAGGGAAAACCAGCTGATCCCTAATCCATCTAAAACACAGACGTGTGCTTTTCATCTTAAGAACAGACAAGCATCTTGAGCTCTGAGGGTTTACCTGGGAAGGAATCCCACTGGAGCATTGCAGCACACCCAAATACCTGGGAGTCACTCTGGACCGTGCTCTGACCTACAAGAAGCACTGCCTGAACATCAAGCAAAAGGTGGGCGCTAGAAACAATATCACACAAAAGCTGAGTGGCACAAGCTGAGAATCACAACCAGATACAGTGTGCGCTATGCTATTCTGCTGCTGAGAAGACATGTCCAGTGTGGAACACATCTCACCACGTTAAAACGGTGGATGTAGCTCTTAATGAGACATGCTGCATTATCACAGGATGCCTATACCCAACACCGTTGGAGAAATTATACTGTTTAGCCGGCATTGCTCTACTTGACATCTGCCAGGAAGTAACAGCCAATAATAAAAGGACCAAGGCATTGACATCTCCAGCCCATTCCCTGTCCAGATATCAACCAGCATGCCACCACCTTAAATCAAGAAATAGTTTTCTAAGATCTAGAGAGACACTCGCTGGAACACCCCAGCAAGCAAGAGTCCAAAAGTGGCAGGCTCAAACTCAGAACCAATGGCTGATACCAAATGAGAGACACCCCCCCCCCCCCCCCCCCCCCCCCCCCCCCCCCGGGCACACAGAAAACTGGGCGACTTGGAAGGCGCTGAACAGACTGCACTCTGGCACCACGAGATGCAGAGCCAACCTTAAGAAATGGGGCCACAAAGTGGAATCCACGACATGCAAGTGTGGAGAAGAGCAAACCACTGACCACCTACTGCAATGCTGATGCACATGCCTGCCACATGCACAAGGGAGGACCTTCTTGCAGCTACACCAGAGGTACTCCAAGAGGCCAGCTAGTGGTCAAAGGACATTTAGCATAATGCCAAATTTTTAACTTTGATTGTTTTTTAAAATATATTATAACTGTATCCAAGTCACTTCTGACACAATAAATAAAATAAAATCTAAGTTCTGGATGAGGACTACAACCTTATGCAGGTTAGGGTGAAGTTCCAACAGTATTCTTCCCTGATGATAGTCAACAACCACCAGAATCCAAAACTATAATAGTGCTACCAAAAAGCTTGAGGAATCATAGAATCCTAGAGCTGGAAGAGACCTCATGGGCCATCCAGTCCAACCCCATTCTGCCAAGAAGCAGGAAAATTGCATTCAAAGCATCCCCAACAGATGGCCATCCAGCCTCTGTTTCAAAGCTTCCAAAGAAGGAGCCTCCACCACACTCCGGGGCAAAGAGTTCCACTGTTGGACAGCTCTCACAGTCAGGAAGTTCTTCCTAATGTTCAGATGGAATCTCCTTTCTTGTAGTTTGAAGCCATTGCTCCATTGTGTCCTAGTCTCCAGGGCAGCAGAAAGGAAGCTTGCTCCCTCCTCCCTAGGACTTCCCTCACATATTGATCCATGGCCCTCATCATGTCTCCTCTCAGTCTTCTCTAAAGGTTAAACATGCCCAGCTCTTTAAGCTGCTCCTCATAGGGCTTGTTCTCCAGACCCTTGATCTGCTCCTTCCTCCCTATGACTTCCCCTCACATATTTATACATGGCCCTCATCATGTCTCCTCTCAGCCTTCTCTTCTGAAGGTTAAACATGCCCAGCTCTTTAAGCCACTCCTCACAGGACTTGTTCTCCAGGCCCTTCATCATTTGTTTATAATCTGAACAATTATTTTTGAGTTAATTCAAAAGGCAACCGTGGCATTTCCATGTATCCTTACATGACCCCTGCTTTGAGGATCAGGTTTCAGCTTAGCTGAAACAAGGACAACAAATTATAAATACCAATTCTAAATTTTAAATCACTTTTGATATTCAAGCGAATTTTTAGAAATGAGTCATAAACACTGTATTTCTACTTACAGATAGGAATGCTGAGCCACTAAGCTTATTATTTTTATGTCCTCCTGAACAGTCTTTTGCAACCACCGAGAAACAACGTGGGTCTCCGAGGCCAAAGGAAGTGTATCCCCACACGACCTCTTGAGACTTGCCAAGAAAGGGTTTTAAAAGGACTCAATTAGCGTTATGCATCAGATTATTTGGAATTTTTTTATAGACGCGAGTAAGTCTCTAGGTGGAGAATGGTGATTTGCACATCTCTGCGTTGCATCAGGAAATTATAGGTTAGGATTGCAATTATGGAGGCAGGTAAAAAGACAGCCTGCCAACCAAAACATCCAAAAGTTTTGATGAACACACAAATCTGGGCATGAAAAGTGGCACAAACCATCTTTTTTAAATGTTTTAAAAGGTCGCTTTTGTCTTTGTGAGGTTTTTTTTTCCTATCCCCATATGTCAAGTTTCAGCCCTAGGCAAATGTTTCTGCTGACAGGCTCTTGCTGAAGAGATGATACAATAAAAGCGCTGACAGACCTTTAATTGGGGCCTTCTCAACAGATGAGGCCACAAAGCAATTTACAGTTGTATGACTTCATTTGTTTTGGAGAGAACTTGCAGGGTTTCGGCAGCTCAACTTGTTTTATCATCTAATGTTACAGCAAAAAATAATAATGAAAAACCAGTATTTATTTCTCATTCATTACAGGGACATGTCAGTTAACAACCTATGATGAAGTAGTTCCTTTTTTTACAAATTGTTTCTCCTCCTCGTCCTTTGTCTAAGTTGAAAGGGTTTGAGCAGCATTGGCGTTGGAAAGATAAAGAAAGATAAACGTTCAGTGTTGTTTGCAGCAGTGTGTTGGTAAGAAACAAGGTAATAAAGCAGTATTTCTCAACTTGGGGGTCGCGACCCCTTGGGGGGTCGCGAAGGGGTGTCAGAGGGGTCGCCGAAGATCGTCAGAATATACAATGTTTTCTGTTGGCCATGGGGGTTCTGTGTGGGAAGTTTGGCCCAATTCTATCATTGATGGGGTTGAGAATGCTCTTTGATTGTAGGTGAACTATAAATCCCAGCAACCACAACTCTCAAATTTCAAGGTCTATTTTCCCCAAACTCCACCAGAGTTCACATTTGAACATATTGAGTGTTCATGCCAAGTTTGGTCCAGATTGATCATAGTTTGAGTCCACAGTGCTCTCTGGATGTAGGTGAACTACAACTCCCAAACTCAAGGACAATGCCCACCAAACCATTCTAGGATTTTCTGTTTTGATTGTAGGTGAACTATAAATCCCAGCAACTACAACTCCCAAGTGTCAAGGTGATTTCCCCAAACTCCACCAGTGTTGACATTTGGGCAGATAGAGGATTCGTGCCAAATTTGGTCCAGATCCATCATTGTTTCCGTCCATAGTGCTCTCTGGATGTAGGTGAACTACAACCCTCATCATGTCTCCTCAAAGTCAATGCCCACCAAACCATTCTAGGGATGCTTGCCATAGATGCAGGCGAAACATCAGGAGAGAATGCTTCTAGAACATATCCATATAGCCTGAAAAACCTGGCCATATAGGCTGAACAACCCAAACCTATATTAGTTTGCATGGGCTTTTTCCAAAAGATTTTGTCAGCATCAATTACAGTGCACGTTGAGCATTCGAATGGCATTGCACCATGCAAAGGGGCGCCTACTCGGGGCAGCCTTACCTCAGGTGAATGAGGTAGCGTAGTAGCCTTTCTTCCGTGTGTCGCGTGTTCTCTTTATTGATGCTTCGCTTAGTTTCTCGTCTCACAGGGACAGAAAAGGTTCTTTGCCGCAGGAATGTCTGGTGATTGGCAGGCATCTCGCGCAGGTCGTAAATCACCACAAACATCTTCACCACAGTCTTGTTAGGGTTGAATAAGGTCTGGAAAAGTGCAGCAAAGAGGTGCTTGATAAGGCCATTGAGCAACTGCAAGGATTAAACACCTGAGTGTGTGCAGTGGGTTGTACTCAACAGTGTCTGCTCTGCAACAGAAAACCGGATCAATAGAAGTCCAAATAGAATCATAGAGTTGGAAGAGACCTCATGGGACATCCAGTCCAACCCCTTGCAAAGAAGCAGGAAAATCGCATTCAAAGCACTCCCGACAGATGCCCATCCAGCCTCTGTTTAAAAGGCTCCGAAGGAGGAGCCTCCACTACACTCCGGGCAGAGTGTTCCACTAGTGAACAGCTCTCACAGCACTGGAACTCTCTTTTAAATCCTTGTGTGTTATTGTCTAACTGTGAGTTGTATTAATTGTATTATTTATTTGCTTATTGTTTTTACTGATGTGTTGTTGGGTTTGGCCTCATGTAAGCCGTCCCGAGTCCCCTTGGGGAGATGGCGGCGGGGTATAAATAAAGTATTATTATTATTATTATTATTATTATTATTATTATTACTGTTACTAGCCGTCCCCTGCCACGCATTGCTGTGGCCCACATGGGAGTTCTGTGTGGGAGGTTTGGCCCAATTCTGTCATTGGTGGGGTTCAGAATGTTCTTTGATTGTGAACTATAAATCCCAGCAACTACAAATCTCAAATGTCAAGATTCTATTTTCCCCAAACTCCACCAGTGTTCACATTTGGGCATATTGAGTATTTGTGTAGAGTTTGGTCCAGATCCATCGTTGTTTGAGTCCACAGTGATCTCTGTGTGTAGGTGAACTACAACTCCAAACCCAAAGGACACTGCCCACCAAACCCTTCCAGTATTTTCACTTGCTCATGGGAGAACTGTGTGCCAAGTGTGGTTCAATTCCATCGTTGGTGGTGTTAAGAATGCTCTTTGATTGTAGTTTAACTATAAATCCCAGCAACTACAACTCCCAAATGACAAAATCAATTTTTTTGAGTGAAGGACATACATTGGGTTGTTAGGTGTCTTGTGTACAAATTTGGTGTCAGTTCATCCAGTGGTTTTGGAGTTCTGTTAATCCCACAAACGAACCTTACATTTTTATTTATATAGATTATTATTATTATTATTATTATTATTATTATTATTATTATTACTATTATTATTCCCCGGGACGTGGTGGAATAGAGAGGCAGAGTTTTCCTCGACTTCCTCTTCCCCTTACAATTTTTGCGCCATTGTTCAAACTGGTCTCAGGCCCCCACAAAGCTCTTCATACTGGTGATGTGGGGAGGGATACTGGATTTTCCTGTTTCTTTGCAAGAAGCCTCCTTGGATCAAACAGCTTCCTATCAACAGCAGGAAACTGCAGGATGCATCGCTGTTTCACACAAATCGGTTCTCTCTCTGGCCACAACATTTATTATGCTGAGCAACCAATATAATGTTCTTTATATCAACCAAATGAATGGAGATCAATATCAGTAATCCATACAATCAGCCACCATTCCATGCAGCCATTTCCAAGGACAGACTGGTCTTATTATAGGTATGCTGATAATCATTATTATTAGCTATTATTTGAAACACAACAAGATGAGTCCACAGCAGACAAGATCACTCTGCTGGCTGTTGTATTGGATCACATGTTGTACAATTATTATTATTATTATTATTATTATTATTATTATTAGTTTTCTGTTGGAAAATGTATTCAGTGAACGAAACCACCAGAATTCTTCCCAATTTTATTACCAACGCCTGATGAAAATGGAATTGGGAGCATTGCAACCCTAACTGTGCGGCGCAGAGTACATACCACTTGTATGGTTCCTGAAGGGGGCACGCGATAACCCCTTTTCCCAAGGGACTCCAAAGCAATGACACCCTGTTTTGGAGGGAGACACACAACCAGAAGCAGAAGATTACAGACTTGTACCGCAGTGTAAACCGAGCTCGTGAAATTCAACACAACAGAAACAGAAAGCGAGAAAACATATTTTTGCACAGGACTACAACTTTTTGCCCATCCTGAGAACATCTCTGGAACTTCTTCCTACAAAGGCAACATATCAGTGAGGGACCCACAAAAGTATAATTAGTAAAGGGCATTTTAGACACGGCTAGGACAGCAGTTTCTCTTTGCAAGCATTCCTTCTAAGTGGGCAATGTCTTAAGCGGATGGAGGGGGGGGGAGGAAAGGGTCTGAGGCTGTTAGGAATGGTGGGAGTTGAAGTCCAAAACACCTGGAGAGCCCAAGTTTGCCCATGCCTTATATACAGGCTAGCAGGGACCACAGCAGGTAGATTTTGCCTAGGTCTATTGGGAAGGGAAATAGTCCAGCCTCCCTTCTCCTCTCTCTTGTCTGAGTTAACCGAATGCAAGTTTGTAGCACTGAGTCTAAGGTAAACCTCAGTGGGAGAAAGGTCTCAGTCTGTGAGGCCTGACAGTATGAGGTAGGCCTTAGTCTGTGAGAGAAGCTTCTGTGTGAGGTAAGCCTCACAGTGTGAAGTAGGCCTTAGTCTGTGAGAAAAGCCTCTGTGTGAGATAGGCCTCACAGTGTGTGGTAGGCCTTAGTCTGTGAGAGCAGCCTGTGTGTGAGGTAGGCCTCAGAGTGTAAGGTAGCCATTAGTCTGTGAGAGAAGCCTCTGTGTGAGGTAAGCCTGAGGCTGTTAGAAATGGGGGGAGTTGAAGTCCAAAACACCTGGAGGGCCCAAGTTTGGCCATGCCTGGTATATATGGATCGTTACAAACATGCATATTTATTTATTTATTTATTTACAGCAGGGGTCCCCAAACTAAGGGCCAAGGGCCAGATACGGCCCTTCAAGGTAATTTACCCGGCCCTCACTGAGGGTCAACCTAAGTCTGAAACTACTTGAAAGCACACAACAACAACAACAAGAATCCTATCTCATCGGCCAAAATCAGGTCCATACTTCCCATTGACATTCTAATAAGTCTATATTAATTAAAATTGTTCTTTGTTTTAATTATTGTACTGTGTTTAAGTATTTTTTGCACTACAAATAAGATATGTGCAGTGTGCACAGGAATTCATTCATGTTTTTTTCAAATTATAATCCGCCCCCCCAACAGTTTGAGGGACTGTGACCTGGCCTTCTGTTTAAACAGTTTGAGGACCCCTGATTTACGGCATTTATATGTCACCCTTCTCACCCCGAAGGGGACTCGGAGAGGCTTACAAGATATATATACATACAATATATTATATTATTAGCATGGTACAATATCAGTATTAAATATTACCATAATGTACTATACCATTATATTGCAGTATTATTAGTAACATTACATGTAATATAAATATATAATTATAATATCATATTATTATTATATATTATAATATATATTATTATTAGTAATAGTAGATATATATATATATATATATATATTGCCCTTCTCACTCAGGGCGGCTTACAAGATATATATACATACAATATATTATATTATTAGCATAGTACAATATCAGTATTAAATATTACTATAGTGTACTATACCATTATATTGCAATATTATTAGTAATATTACATGTAATATAAATTATAATTATAATATCACATTATTAGTAGTAATATATTGCATTGCATTATAATATTATATATATATATATATATAAATGTGAGTAGATGAATAGTTACTGCTCCGGCGGGAAGGTAACGGCGCTCCATGCAGTCATGCCGGCCACATGACCTTGGAGGTGTCTAGGGACAACGCTGGCTCTTCGGCTTAGAAATGGAGATGAGCACCACACCCCAGTCAGACATGACTGGACTTAATGTCAGGGGACTACCTTTACTATATATTATATTATATTATATTATATTATATTATATTATATTATATTATATTATATTATATTATATTATATTATATTATTAGCATACCACAGGAGACAAGGTGGACCGTCCCCTGGCCCCCTCTTTCTTCACTCTTTTCATTGTATTATTAGTATTGTATCGTATATTATATTATATTATATTATTAGCATAGCAGACAAGGTGGAGCCATCCCCCTCTTTCTTCACTCTGGCCCAGAGCAGCTGAAATTCCACAAAACACCCAGGATGACAAAAAATGAATGAGTATTTCCACATTTTATTTGCAGTATCATCAAGCCATTTAAAATCCTGTCTGCTGCTTGAAAGCTGGCACCACTAGCTTTGCATTTTGTCATTTGGACTCAGGCCTTTTTGTACACAAGTCCATTTTCTCAAAGGACGAAACAGGATTTGACGTAAGGAAGTACTTCCATGGCTAAGTATATGGCTCGAATATATACCATGTAGGGAGAGGGTGCGTTGTCATCTGAAACACTGTAGAAGGAAACCTCGACTGGTAGCGTCATGTGCGTTGGACAAAACATCCCACTTGCTCCCACTTCGGCCGTGAAGCCGTCTACGATGCCCAGGGGATCTAAGCGATAATTCAGGACAGATTCCTGGGAGGAGAAAACAAACACGGTTGAGAGAGTGGCCTCTGAAATCAAGTCTCTAGTAAATTATTTATTTTTATTTATTTACAGTATTTACATTCCGCCCTTCTCACCCCGCAGGGGACTCAGTAAAGGATCACTGGAAGGTGCTTGATACCAGACTATGTTTGATCAATTAAATGCAGTTATGGTTTGTGCCCAATTTGGTCCAGTGAATGAAAATACATCTTGCATATCAGATATTTACATAACAATTCAAAACAGTAGCAAAATTACAGTGATGAAGTAGCAACGGAAATAATGGTTGGGGGTCACCACAACATGAGGAACTGTCTTAAGGGGTCGCGGCATTAGGAAGGTTGAGAAACACTGCTAGAAAGGCACTTCCTGAAGCAATGCATGCCAGAGCATCAGGACACTGGTTACAACGAAAAGAGGGATTTGGGGATATATACATTACCTCAAAGTTTCCTAGAAGACTAAGACTTGTTACTGGTGGTGCGCTTGAACTCAGAAATGGCTTCTCGTGGACATCTGGATCACGCTCTTTGCTCAGACAATGTTGTGGACTAGTTCAAATAGTTGTAAGAAGCCAGAGTTAGTCCTTTTTTTTCTTCTACAGTTCTATCCATGCAAAAGATTTGGCTTTAAGCTTTTGATAATACTTACTTTATATACTCGAGTATAAGCCTAGATTTTCAGCCCTTTTTTAGGTTGAAAAAGTCCCCCTCGGCTAAAAAAGGGTCTGAAAGGGGGCTTAAAAACTAGGCTTATACTCGTGTATATACAGTACTTTTTTTGGTTCAGAAATCCCAAAATCTCCCAGACAACTCAGTCAATGAAAGATTGTGGGATATTCCCCAAAATCACTTTTCAAAGCTCTAGATTCTATCCCCATGGATTTGAAAAATTGCCAGAACAAAGATGGAAAAAAATAGCCTAGTATCTCAGTATCATCTGACCACCTTCTGTGGAAGTGTCTGGAAATTCCCAACATTAAACATAGCAGGAGATTTGCGTGCCTTCAAAAGCACGAAGCAGGGCACAAACCCAGTAAGTTTACGATCTGTTTTGTCTCAATTATAAGGTATTATTAACACATGTTATATTGTTACATTCGGGTGTTAAAATAAGGAGTTATAACTATGAAATCCTTTCTAAATTACTGTATATACTCGAGTATAAGCCTAGTTTTTCAGCCCTTTTTAAAGGTTGAAAAAATTACCCACGCTTATATTTGAGTCAAGGTTATTTATTATTTTACTCTATTATTTATTTTTATTACATTTATTATTTTACTCTATTATTAATAGTATTATTAGTATTATTAGTATTAGTACATTTAGTATTTTACTCTATTATTATTAGTATTAGTATTATTACATTTATTCTATTATTACTGTTATTATTACATTTCTATTATTTTACTCTATTATTATTCTATTAATACTGTTATTATAACATTTCCATTATTTTACTCTATTTATTACTGTTATTATTACATTTACTATTCTATTTTTACTGTTATTACATTTCCATTATTTTACTCTATTATTTTTGTTATTATTACATTTATTATTTTACTCTATTATTATTGGAAGGATACGTAAGCACATTTACATTGAAGAAGTTTAGAATAATGGTTTGATCAGAGTTGGGCAGTCCTATCTGAAATTAGTTTTATGTAAATATTCAAAAACATTTAGCCCATTGATGCCTCAATTGATGTAATTGTATTGGTATTTATTTTTATTTTGAAATTTACCAGTAGCTGCCTCATTTCCCACTCTCGGCTTATACTCGAGTCAATATATTTTCCCAGTTATTTGTGGTAAAATTAGGTGCCTTGGCTTATATTTGGGTCAGCTTATACTCGAGTAGATACGGTATATACAGCTCAGCTTTTCCAAACCTTGCATTACTACACAGGAATTTAAGTAGTGGTTGTCTTCTGATTGGAGAAGACTCAACTAAAACTAACTCTGCATATGACTGAATAAAAACATTTTGGGACCTTTAAACGTTTCGAAGTAGGCAAAAAGGTCCTCTTAAAATGACCACCTCTTTTAACTCTCATACAGGCGCTAATGCTTTTTCTAACACAACATGTACTTTAGATAGTCTTTACAATTTTAAAAAAGTCTTTCTGCATCAAAACTACCCTTTGAGTTGATTAGAAAGGTTTTTAGAATAAACTGAATGTTACAAACCTACAAGAGGCATTCATTAAAGATTTCCCCTGACCCACTTCTATTGATCACAGGATGTTAAAACTGCACATGTGTAATGATCTAAGTCTCTATAGGTTACGTGCCAATTGATAACTCAGAACTGAGAACAATCTTGATGTTACAGGTGCTGAAGTGGAGTGAGGTTTGAGAATGGACGCAGTGGAAGACAGAGCAGGCCTCAAGTTCCTTTCCTTGAAAGGCCGCACAACAAAGGAGACGTTTGATGAAAGAGGTTGAGGAATATGGTGAGGATTCCCCATCATATGATGGAGTCAAGAACTGGCATCATTCATTTAAATGTGGTTGGACTTTGGTGCAAGCAGCTCCAATTCCAGGGTGACCCCTTTCTGCTCTTGATGAACACACCATCCAGCAAGTGGAGGTTGCCATTTTGGAAAATCGCCCAGTAACCATTCGCCTCCTAGCCCAAAATGTCAAGATGAGTGTGGGGTCTGTGGTAAAAATCATGCAAGGCCATCTTCACATGCATAAGATATCCTCTTGCTGGGTTCCCTGGCTACTCACACCTTTCCAAAAGCAGGAAATATAGGTTAAATACCTGTAACCGCACTTTCCCAAGTGGTCACCTGTGAATCGCACATATGGTAGTTTCTGCGCCTGAGCAGACAGCTTTGGAAACTTCTAGATAGATTTGAAAACTTTTCTGGTGGTTAGCCGCGCCCACTCTCCGCTTGTGAGTATAAGTAGCCAGTGGACGGGGTAACCGCCTCAGTTCTCTTCATCCGCCGCTCTGTCAGCAGCTGAGAACCTTTGTGTGACTAGCTTTTTGGGACTGCCTGAGTGACTAAACCAACTGTGCGATTCACAGTTGACCATGATGGGAAACAAGTCCAATGCTTTCAGGCTCTATTGACAATGATGTGCCATGGAAACCAGGAGGATTTTTTCAACAGAGTTTGTTTTTTGTTTTTTGGTCGTGTCAGGAGCAACTTGAGAAACTGCAAGTCGCTTCTGGTGTGGGAGAATTGGCCGTCTGCAAGGACGTTGCCCAGGGGATGCCCAGATAATTTGATGTTTTTATCATCTTTGTGAGAGGCTTCTCTCATGTCCCCGCTTGGGGAACTGGAGCTGACAAAGGGAGCTCATCCACGCTCTCCCTGGATTCGAACCTGCGACCTGTCGGTCTTCAGTCCTGCCAGCACAGGGGTTTAACCCACTGCGCCACAGGGGACTCAACAGAATGATCACACAGGATGAAAGCTGGGTCCATCACTCTGATTCTGAACCTCAAGTCCAGTCGATGCCATAGAAGCATCCTGACTCACCGCCTCCAAAGAAGGCATGTGCCCAACTCTTGACAGGCAAGGTCATGCTCATAATATTTTGGGACCAGCATGGAGAAGTATGAATGGATTTCCTAGCAAAGTGGACCATGATCACTGAGACATACTATGCTTCACAGGTGTGGAAATTGCAGGAGGTCATGCAAACCAAGAGACGTGGCATGCTCACCAAAGGTGTCTGCCTTCTGCAAAACAATGCACCATCCTCACTACCTCTGAGGATGCTTGCCATAGATGCAGGCGAAACATCTAGAACATGGCCATATAGACCGAAAAAACCTACAACAACCCAATGCACCATTTCACAACTCACATGTTGCCCAAATGGAAAAATACTCCTGTGACTTTGGAATTCTACCGCATTCCCATTATTCACCTGACCTCGTACCATCGACTTCCACCTCTTTCCAACAATGAAGTTATTTTTGAACAGCAAGCATTTCTCAGGTGACGAGACTCTGGTTTCCGAAGTCTCAACGTGGCCTTTGGAGCAACCTGTCGACTTGTACAAGTGTGGTGTTTACAGTTGCTTAAAAAGATGGGAGAAGTGTGTGTCCCAAGGTGGCACCAATAGAAAGAAAGACTAATAAGTATGCCAAGTTTCATTGTTCTCAGTCCATGGCAAGTGGGTCAGGGGAAATATTTAATGAACGCCCCTCGTAATTATATATAGTGTGCATTCATTAGTTGAGTCCATAGGAATTTCTTCAAAATATCTTTATTTATCCAAGGTGAAAAATGCAAATATTGGAAAACACTTTTTAAAAATACCTTTTAGAGAAGCATTTCAAATGCAATAGTGATGTATCGAGATCAAAGCATCCAGATCGTGTTTTTCTTTCTGGAACCTGAAAATGCAGAGGCAGGGAGAAGGATGGAGGGAAACATGGTTAGTTTAGATTACAGGGCCTTAAACTGAGTAAGAAATGTTGGATATGAACGAGAACACTTTATAGAAGCATGGAACCCAACAAGACAATGATTCTTAACCCATGGGTCCCCAGATGTTTTGCCCTCCAACTCCAAGAAATCCCAGCCAGTTTCTGAGGACCTTTTCCCTTTAGATGAGGTCTTACCCATATAAACAGGCAGCATATGGGCACAGGAGATATCTCACATCCTGTAGGTAATGATGCACATGCTGTGCCTGTGTTATGCATTCAGTCCAAGATGTTGGCATGGCAGTATAGCAGGCATGGGCAAACTTGGGCCCTCAAGGTGTTTTGGACTTCAACACCCACAATTCTTAACAGCCTACCGTCTAATGCTGACATTGGTTATGGGCCCAGCATGAGCTAATATGAACTAGTATGCCCAGCAGCAAAAGTACTCTAAAGCCCAGAATTCTGAAATTTTGTTTTTGTGTGATTTTTGTGCTCAAGTAGAAAGTAAAACAGCCATAGCTCAGCATATGTCAAGTTTGCCATTTGAGCGTTTAATCGCTGGCATTGGTTATGGATCCAGCACGCTTCTGCTGCGCCAAGACACTACACTTGGAGGACCATTGTAAATAATAAGTAAGGAAAGGCCATAATGCTTGCAATTTCCCACCAGGTTTTTCTTTTTAAGATTTGTTTTGTTTATATTTGTGAATATTTTAGTAAGTAACGTACAATAAAATAAAAGACAAAATGTCTGGAGTACCAGTTGGTTTGTACTTATTTGTACGCATTACTTATATCATGCCCAGCAATCGTGGATGGTTCACAGAAAAACTCTGAATCCATGAAGGAGAAGGAGGATACAAAAAAGTCTAAAGTAAACAAATGTTAATGTGAATAATCTCAAAATCACTAAATGCTCTCAGGATTTAAAAAGACTATAAAGGGGAGAAAATGTGAAAGGGATGGAACTACATAACAGCTACTTACAGGACTTGAAAGTAGAGGCAATCCAGTTCGAGGATGGAAGGCTTTCGTAGAAGTACCATCTAAATGGTGAAAAGTGTTCTTGTGCCACATGTGTTTGAGTGATACTGTCCTCTGAACATACAAAATGAAAAATCAGTCACAATACTCATTTTGTTGGGACTCACTTCAAAATATTTTACATTACATCTGTATAAGTGATTTCTCACAAGCAATGGCTGTCATCCTGTTTGTTGCATTCTCAGGTGCAAGTTAACCCTATATCTGCATATACATTTAGTCGCCATTGAGGTTTGTATTCCTTTCTTCCCCTCACTGCAAACAAAGCATCGCTCACCACCAGATTGGAGTCACAGTGGCACAATGGGTTAAACTGTTGTGCTGGCAGGACTGCTAACCGGTAGATCAGCAATTCAAATCCGGGGAGAGCGAGTTGAGCTCCCACTGTCAGCTCCAGCTCCTCATGCGGGGATATGAGAGAAGCCTTCCACAAGGATAGTGAACATCAAACTTCCTGGCATCCCCTGGGCAACGTCCTTGCAGACGGCCAATTCTCTCACACCAGAAGCGACTTGCAGTTTCTCAAGTTGCTCCTGACACGAAATAAACAAAATAAACAGAACACCCTGAAGCCCCGCATTTTCCAAGCCAGGTTATAAGGAAACTCACATTTGATCTAAGCAGCTTCTACAGAATGCTCACTTTCTCCTTGTCTTGCAACTCAAATAGGCTTCTTATGTGTGAAACCTAGCACCCATTATATAATATGGCTCCTAATACTGCTAGGCCCAAATCAATAAGCACTATGGAGCTTTCTTAGAAAATCAGGACATTTCGGTTTTATACTGGCATGATGTTTTGGACTAACAGCTAGTATTTCGGAAGAAATCAAACTGAGCAATCAGAGCCCTGTATTTCTATTATTAGGAAATATGATGATTGATCTATGAAAACTAAGCTTTATATCAAAAGGCAGAACATAAATATGCCATTGATTGCAAACACTTTATAAGGATTTCAGCTGACCAATGGAAGCATTAAATTTCTGTCATGAAAGCAACTGAGATGAAGAAAGGAAACTAAAGAATATGTATTTGTCTTTGATGATACAATAGACTCACGTGTAGACCTATTTTACATGGCTCCATAACTTACATACCACATCCTGTGATGTTTCCTATCTTTTCCCCCTTCACATGAAATCTGCTCCAAAACAGGAGCTTTTTTGTTGAGTTCCAGGGCTAGAGAAGCAGATAGCGAAAACAGAAGAACGGCCTGCCTCAGGGGAGCGTGCTTGCTCCATCCATGTTTAACATTTACACAAATAACCAGCCACTGCTAGAAAGGACACAGAGTTTCATCTACACTGACGATCGTGACATCACCGCTCTAGGAGGGGGCTTTGAAATTGTTAAACAGAAGCTCTCCAAAGCTTTAGGTGCTCCTATTGCCTATTACAGGGGAAACCAGCTGATTCCTAATCCATCTAAAATGCAGAGGTGTGCTTTTATTTATTTATTTATAACTTTTGTATCCCGATCTTCTCTACCTCCGTAGAGGGACAGCGAGGATTTAATGCTAACAAAACAATCTAAGACATCATACATCAACAATAGAATTAAAATACATATAGAATAAAATTCGAAGCCAATTCATCAAGATAATTCATCTTAAAAACAGACAAACATCTCAAGCTTTGGGAATTCCCTGAGAAGGAATCCCATTGGAGCATTCTAGCACATCCAAATACCTGGGAGTCACTCTGGACCGTGCTCTGACCTACAAGAAGCACTGCCGAATATCAAGCAAAAAGTGGACGCTAGAAACAATATCATACGAAAGCTGACTGGCACAACCTGGAGATCACAACCAGATACAGTGAGCGCTTTGCTACTCTGTTGCTGAGTACGCATGTCCAGTGTGGAACACATCTCACAGTGGATGTGGCTCTTAATGAGATATGCCACATTACCACAGGATGCCTACATCCAACACTGTTGGAGAAATTATACTGTTTAGCTGGTATTGCACCACCTGACATCCGCCAGGAAGTAGCAGCCAATAATGAAAGGACCAAGGTAGTGACATCTCCAGCTCATCCCTTGTTTGGGTATCAGCCAGCACACCAATGACTTAAATCAAGAAACAGCTTCCTAAGATCTACAGATATACTTGCAGGAACACCTCAGCAAGCGAGAGTCCAAAAGTGGCAGGCTAAAACCCTAAATGTCAATCTATGGCTAATACTGAATGAGAGACTTCCTCCTGGGCACACAGAAGACTGGGTGACTTAGAAGGCATTGGACAGATTGCACTCTGGCACCACAAGATGCAGAGCTAACCTTAAGAAATGGGGCTACAAAATGGAGTCCACAACATGTAAGTGCGGAGAAGAGCAAATCACAGACCACTGACTCCAACGCAGCCTGAGCCCTGCCACATGCACAATGGAGGACCTTCTCTGTCATACATTCTGCAGTTGATGGCGCTTGGTGATGGAAGGGTTAATGTAAGTATTAGTTTTAAAGGGTTTAGTAATCTGTAAGAGTTCATGGGTGAAAACAATTAAGGGTGGAGGTATGCAAGAGATGGGTTGCAGCTGCGTGTTACTGGATTTAAGGAGCTAACGTTGAGACCCATGTTTGCTGAGTATGCATGCCCAGTGTGGAACACATCTCACCACGCTAAAACAGTGGATGTGGCTCTTAATGAGACATGCCACATTATCACGGGGTGTCTGTGCCCTACACCACTGGAGAAACTACACTGTTTAGCCAGTATTGCACAACCTGACATCTGCCGGGAAGTAGCAGCCAATAGTGAAAGGACCAAGGCAGTGACATCTCCAGCTCATCCCGTTTGGGTGTCAGCCAGCACGTCAACGACTTAAATCAAGAAATAGTTTTCTAAGACCTACACAGACACTTGCTGGAAAACCCCAGCATGCGAGAGTCCAAAAGTGGCAGGCTCAAACCCAGAACCTCAATCAATAAGAGACTCTCCCCTGGTCACACAGAAGACCGGGTGACTTGGAAGGGGCTGAACAGATTGCGCTCTGGCACCACGAGATGCAGAGCCAACCTTAAGAAATGGGGCCACAAAGTGGAATCCACGACATGCAAGTGTGGAGAAGAGCAAATCACTGACCACCTGCTGCAATGCAACCTGCTACATGCACCATGGAGGACCTTCTTGCGGCAACACCAGAGGCACTCCAAGTGTCCAGATACTGGTTAAAGGACATTTAACCAACTACCAAGCTCGCAAACTTTGTGTTTTGTCTGTCTGTCTGTTTGTTTTGTTAAAAATATAATACAAATGTCTGGTTGCTCCTGACACGATAAAATAAATAAATAAAAATAAATAACCTTACCATCACTAAGCACCATTAACTGCAGAACATATGACATTCTCACAGCAACACCAGAAGCACTCCAAGTGGCCAGCTTCTCATCAAAGGACATTTAACATAGTTTGTTAAAAAAAACTTTGTGTTTTAAATGCATTCTAACTGTACCCTCAACTTGCTTCTGACACAGTAAATAAATGTACACAAAAAGGCACACAAGTTAAAAAACGCTCCTTACCGACACCTCTGCATTCTTCTTTTGTTCAAACAAAGCCACCAAACAGTCTTCAGGAGGCTTCTTCGGAGAACATTTTTGTCCTTCACAATCTGTTGGGTCTTCATTCTCATCATGGGCGTTTTTCACCCTCTCTTGTTTAGTTTTGCATTTGAAACTTTCCAGGTCTTTATGTAAATAGTTTTCAATACTAGCCAGTTGGGAGTTTTGTTCCATAGTGTGTTGTGGCTTGGAGCCTTTATTGAAGCACTTATGCTCACTTCTGTGCAAACTACTACCAGACGCCTGCATTACAGTCACTTTCACGTTTTCAGGCGTACTGGAGTGATCTAATTGTGGATTGTTTAAAGAGTTCAGGTTGCTATTTGGACTAGCGTTTGTTCTGTTCTTGCATTTATCTGTACTAATCTGTTCATCGCTACCGTTGAAATGTGAATACTGCTTGGCGACAGCTTTCTTTGCTACTTGAGATTTATAGAGATAACCTGAAAGGACCGACTCCAACTTATCCGCCAATTCTGATTTATATTCTTCTTTGCTAGATGATGGGTTGAGGGAAGTTAATGGGCTTTGATTTCGATTCGTTGGAGGCTGCTGAAATGCATTCTGGACGACTTCACTGGGCTCTGCTTGCAGCAGTTTTCTTCTAATTTGAGAGTTTGGAGATACATTCTGTTCATCATCCGATCGAAGTGTTGCTGGCATTCGACCTTTTGCCTTTGGGTTGTCTTCCATTAAAGGACCTCTCGATTCCTCTAAAGAGGCTTCTTTGCCTTTCTTCGATGGTTTCTCCTCTTCGCATGGACGGTGGAAAGCCTTTGGATTAACGGGACTCATGCCTTGAACATGAAACACAGGGTGGACAGCGGGTGACATGGAGGGATCACAGTGAATCAAATGCTGGGCAATCCTTGCAATCACCTCTTGCCGTTCTTGAAGCAAAGAGCTGATGAGAGGGTTCGCTTCCTCTACGGTTTGGCGGGATCCGTGGTTCATTGGGATGTAGGAATGGGACAAGGGGGTTTCTGGTATGGTTTGAGCTTTCCTAATGGTTTCAGATGATGTCAGGTCCGTGGTCATTGTAGTTGAAACAGAGGATGTTTCCCTTCCCTTTTTCGCCAGGTTCTCTTCTTCGTGTGCGCTGCGCAAAACCTTTGGCTTTCCCAGGCCGGTTTCATTTGTGCCAAAGGGCCGCCCCATGGCTGGGGATGTGGAAGGGTCACAGTGAATCAGATGTTGGGCAATCCTTGCTATAACTTCGTGCCGTTCTTGGAGAAGAGAGCCAATTAAAGGAATAGATTCGCCCAAAGACTGGCGGGTAGAGTAGCCATTATGGACATAGGGATCAGCCGAGCAGAGCGGTTTCGAAGCTTCTTGGGGAAGCTTCCTAGTGTCAACAGCAGCCGTAAAGCACTGGACTTTGGACTCCGATGCTCCAAAGTCAGATAAAAGTCCAGTCGACGGGTAAAATTTCAGGTTTTTGACAGCTGTGCTAAACTCCGGGCCTTTTCTCCCTCCAAGCCCGCTTTCAGTCCGCATCAGTTTGCCACAAGCTCGCTGTGCATTGGGGACAGGGCCTTGCTCTACCGTGGCAGGGTCGCAGTGCGGGCGTTCATTATGCTCCTCTAGTCTCTTCTCATAGAAACCAAGGTTGGTGTGGATGCTGCAAGTCAAGACGGGATAGTTCGATTGTCTCGGCAAAGACTGGACGCTGACTTTCAAGGCCACGTTGTGAGAAACGTTGGGAATGGGGAAAAAATGTTCCGTCGGTGTCTGGGAAAAGGTCCACTGGAGATCGACATGTGCAGCACTTACTCTGGAAAGCAGACCCAAAATACACAGTGGTTTTAATATATTTATTTGTTTATTTAGGATGGACTGTGCTCCCTCATTTCTCTCCAAAAAATCCTATCCTAGTTGTATTTTACATTGTTCACGTCAGCATATTTTCAATTTTAATCTATTAGATTTGGCCCGGCCATTTTTAAAATTGTTTATGTCACTATTGATTGTTTTTTGTTTATGTGATTTATATGATTTGTATTTTATTGATTGTTTATTGATGTTGTGTTTATTGATGTTTTGTTTGATGTACTTTGGGCTTGGCCTCATGTAAGCCGCACCGAGTCCCTTGGGGAGATGGTAGCGGGGTAGAAATAAAGTTTATTATTTATTTATTTATTTATTTACAGTATTTGTATACCGCTTTTCTCACCTCAAGGTGGACCCAAAGCGGTTAAAACCTGTTCTTTTTTTTTTTTTTTTTTTTTTAAAGATTTTTATTAGTGAATGCCATCAAGGCAGGGTGGTCCATGCCTTGGTTACATCCAAACTGGACTACTGCAATGCACTCTACATGGGGCTGTCCTTGAAGACAGCCCGGAAATTTCAACTGGCGGCAGCCAGGCTCCTTACTGGAGCAAACTATAGGGAGCATACAACATCCCTATTAAAACAGCTTCATTGGCTGCCAATAAGTTGCCGAGCCAAATTCAAGGTGCAGATCATGACCTATAAAGCTCTAAATGGTTCGGGCCCCGCCTGTCTCCGTGATCACATCTCCTTCTTTCGACTGGCATGAACTCTAAGACCTTCTGGGGAACCACTCCTCTTGGTCCCACCTCCGTCACAAGCATGGTTGGTGGGGACGAGAAAGAGGGCCTTCTCAGTGGTGCCCCCCCGCCTCTGGAATGCCCTTCCAAGGGAAATAAAACAGGCCCCATTCCTCCCCTCCTTTCGTAAGAGCTTGAAAATCTTGTGGTTTCAACAAGCCTTTGAAAATGACCAGTTCTAACTCAGCCCTACACATTGTCGAATACGGCCTTATTCTTCCTACCAATTACCCAGATCACTTCCTCTAATTGGCCCCGGAATGAAGAGTCACAGACCCGTACCTCATATTATTGTTGCCTGCCATAGTATTGCACTTAATTCCTGGGCCCCCTATAATTTTTGGGCTTGCACAAATCTTGGCCCAGCCTTTTAAATTTTTAATTGCATTGAACAGGCAGGATTACTTTTAATTTATGTGTGTTATGGCGACAATTTTTATGCTTATATTGTTTTGTTAATCTTATGATTTGTATGTTTTGTGATGTTACCTGGGAACCGCTCTGAATCCCCTCAGGGAGATAGAGCGGTATATAAATAAATTTTATTATTATTATAAGACAAATCGACAACAATTAACACAATAGACAAACTATAAATGAAAATGAAACCAAAGAAATCAAACATCAAACATATTACTGTGATTCTTTGTACAGTGAAAGTGGGGGAACATAAATACAGAGAGAAGTATGGAAACAGAGAAGAGAAAGAGAGAAACATAATAAAAAATGAAATAATAAAAACATTTAAAAAGAAGAAGAAAGAAAGAGAAAAAAAGAAAGGAGCAGGGAAGCTGATGAGAGGAAGAAGATGGGATGGAGGATCGGGGAAGGGGGGATATCGGGAAGGGGGAAAAAGAAGAAATTTTAAAAAGGGAGGATGGAAGTAAATAATAATAATAATAATAATAATAATAATAATAATAATAATAATGTTGCAATCCCAGGTGACAGCAGGATTGCAGAGAAACAACTGGAAAAGCTGACACAATATGAGGATTTATAGATCGAACTGCAAAGACTCAGGCACAAACCAGTAAAGGTGGTCCCAGTGGTGATCGGCAGACCGGGTGCAGTGCCTAAAGACCTTGGCCTGTACTTAAACACAAAATTACCATCTGCCAGCTGCAGAAGGCCACCTTACTGGGATCTGCACACATTATTCGCAGATACATCACACAGTCCTAGACACTTGGGAAGTGCCCGACGTGGGATCCAATACAACAGCCAGAGAGTGTCTGCTGTGGACCCATCTTGTTGTGTTTCAATAATAATAATAATAATAATAATAATAATAATAATAATAATAATAATAAAATTTAAACAATAAAAATAATAGACAAAAAAGGGGGGGAAAGAAAGAAAGAGAAAGGGGAGGGGGGAAGAAAAAAAGAGGCGAGAAAAATCAGTTTAGCTTTGAAAAGTAACATAAAAAACACATACGTTGCAGGGCTCAGGAAAACAACAATTATGCTTAATTGTGTATCTAAAGAACAGGTTCTATATATCGCCAGTATATAGAACCTGTTCTTTGGATAAACAATTTAGCACAATTGTTGTTTTCCTGAGCCCTGCAACACTTTTTTTTTAACGTTACTTTTCAAAGCTAAACTGATTTTTTCCCTCAATAACACACCCAGCTAAGCTGCATAAAAGCATCCTCCTATGTCTACTAAAGAACAAATGAATAGTAATTGCTGCTTGAGACTTACCGGTAGAGGATATTACGAGGGACTGCTCCATGGGAGACACTCAGCCAAGCACTTAACTGAGAAAAGAACACAAAAGAACGGACAGCCAATAAGAGGGTCTTCTCTTCGATGAATCGATCACCGCTTCTACAAATATAGGAAAGAGAAACAGACATGTGTTCGTGAACATTACATATGAAATACCCCCCCAAACCTCAACACTCATTTTTTGTATATATTTTTGTAAATTTCTGTATATATTTCAGATTTCAACATTAATGTCAAAAATATGTAAGAGTATGATCCTACATAGGATTTGTGCTACATTAGAACAGTAAAGACAAATATCACTTAAATAAAATAAACATTAAATATTAAGTACAGTGTTCCCTTGCTACTTTGCGGTTCGCTTTACGTGGACTTGCTGTTTCGCGGGTTTTTGAAAATATTAATATAAAATATAAAAGGTTTGCGTCCTCAGAAAAGGAGGCTGGTGTGAGGGGTGGAACTCCCTCCGCCGCGGCGCTCTGCTTGCCTTCCCGCGACTTAGAGTGCTTGTGCAGCCGCTCCTTCTCCTGGCCCATCCTGAGGGCGCCTGCCTGCCTCCCTGGCCTCCGCAGACCCCGGCAGAGCCTCTGGTGTCCGCGGAGGCCAGGGAGGCAGGCCTTCCCCGCTGCGGCTCAGACCGCCGCTCTGCCGGTGTCCGCGGAGACCAGGGAGGCAGGCCTCCCCTGCTGCGCCTCAGCCCGCCACATTTCCGGGGTTCTGAGGCGTGGCAGAGAAGGCCTGCCTCCCTGGCCTGCTGATGCCTGCGTGGCTCCGGAGGCACGTAAGAAAGCGCAGGTAAGAAAATCTGCAAAGTAGGGATGCTACCTGCGTGACCGTATCGCTATCTACGAACCCACACGCTCACTCCGGTCATCTGGAGAGGCCCTGCTCGTGATCCCGCCCGCGTCGCAAGCGTGCTTGGTGGGGACGCCAGACAGGGCCTTTTCTGTGGTGGCCCCCCGACTTTGGAACGCCCTCCCGAAAGATCTCAGACAGGCCCCTACATTGGCAGTCTTCAGAAAGAATTTGAAAACCTGGCTGTTCCGATGTGCCTTTTCAGATTAGGAACCTCCAGCACCAAATCCTAGAAGCACTTTAGTAGAACCAAGATCACTGCACACTGCAATTACTGTATAATCCTACATTCCTCCTGCCACATCAGCACTTTTAATCCTGTACCCCTACTCTGGCCGGCCCAGTTTTAATAGTGTCTTGTTGTATTGTTACTGTTATTGTTTTTTTTGCTTAACTGTTTTTAATTTGCTTTAGGTATTGTATTGTTGTATTGTGTTTTGGGGCTTCGGCCTGTGTAAGCCGCATCGAATCCCTTGGGAGATGCTAGCGGGGTACAAATAAAGTTATAATAATAATAATAATAATAATAATAATAATAATAATAATGCTATATTAATTTTAATATTTATGCATTATGCTAAAATAATGTATAAATATTAAAATAAATATAGCCTCCCTACCTCGTAGATTTTCACTTATCATGGGTGGCCCTGGAACTGAACACTCGCGATAAGTGAGGAAAGACTGTAACCGAAAAAATAAAATAAGGTGTAAACACTGAATTCATCTGGGAATCTGCTATTGCAACACATCCAATGAAGTGGTTTAAAACCAGTATAAAAAACAAATGATGACTTCTGGAATAGGTATAATGTTTTTAACAGTTTTACGGTATTTGTGTGTTTTTATGAACATTTATTTATATGATGTATCATATTTTATTTGATTCATATGCGGCATTGGATATTTCCATATTGTAAGCCATTCTGAGTCCCCCTTGGGGTGAGGGAAAGCGGGATATAAATATAGTAAATAAATAAATAAATAAACTTGTCTCGAGTGCACATATGCAGATATTAAAAACAATTCAGTGAGGGCATCGGTTTCCAGGTGGAAGGCGGTCCCGGTTGGGGTTGGCTTGACGCGCCTTTCTCTTGGCATATTTCTCTCTTTCGCCCCCCATTCGTGCCTCTTCAAACTCCACAGCACTGCTGGTCACAGCTGACCTCCAGCTGAAGCACTCAAGGGCCAGGGCTTCCCAGTTCTCAGTGTCTATGCCAGAGTTTTGAAGGTTGGCTTTGAGCCCATCTTTAAATCTCTTTTATTGGAGAACACAGAAATGCTGGACCACTCTAACACTACTATGTCAGCCTACACAGAGAAGCCACTGAAATCCAAAAGCATGTGGACAATTTCAACAGAAAGGAGAAAACCATGAAAATGAACAACATCTGTCTACCTGTAATTAAAAAAAACTCTAAAATCGGGACAGTAACAAAAAAAACACTCAAAAACAGGGGAATTCCAGACAAGGAACAATCGGGAACAGCTAATCACCTCCCAACAAAGGATTCCCCTAGGCAGGAAGAAGCTAGGCTTTGAAGCTGAAAGGCTATTCAGTCCTAATCAAGGCGGCCAATTACAGCATTCATACAAGTATTCTTTCTCCCACCCTGGACCTTCCACAGATATATAAACCCTGCTTTCCTAGTTTCCAACAAACCTCACAACCTCTGAAGATGCCTGGCATAGATGTGGGTGAAACATCAGGAGAGAATGCTTCTGGAACATGACCATACAGCCCGGAAAATCCTCTCTCTCTCTCTCTCTCTCTCTAGTATATATATCTTATAAGCCATTCTGTGTCCCCTTTGGGGTGAGAAGGGCGGCATATAAATGGCGTAAATAAATAAATAAATATAAATAAAATTCACAGCAATCCAAGAATATTATTTATCATCACTATGCTGAGCTACAATGAGCCATTAGCACAATCAATGAATATATAAACCTGCAGAAAAGTGGGCACCCACCTGAAACTCAGTATCTTCCAGACATAAAAATGAAATAAGGAAACTTACAAAACGAAACCTCCCCATCAATCCATGGTAAACTCAAAGAGACAGAAACATAGACACTCCTTTCCCGTGTATGTGGTCACTTCAAGAATCTTAGACCAACTTTTGAGCATCAACTTACTGCCGTGGAACCGGCTCCAAAATCCATCTTTCGAGTAACAGTGCGTCTTGCTTGATGGCGGGATCATTTAAGTCGCTCCCTTCTGTGGCGGGCCCTTCGTCGCTATAGCAACAGTCTGGAAGCAGCATCACTTCGATCATGATAGGAATATTATTCTTCCACAGCAACGTAACCTCGGACCGAGTGCGTCTAGCTTGACGACACTTGGACAAAGAAAGAGAATATTGGATTTAAAATCCCATGCACGATCCAGACAGGAAAAGTCCAAAGTCGATCTGCTTTGGCGACTATTCTGTCTGGAATTATTTTCAAATTCAACAATATCTCTACGGCCAACCTCTCTGTAGTGACACTCCCAACCCAATGGTGTAACTACTAAAATACCTTTGATTTGTGAAACTTGATTAGTTGATTAAATCAGAGTTTGCCCAACAGTTACAGCTTTGAACACCAAGTGTCAAGATTTGCCAGTACTGCACTTTTGTTTTATCTGGGGAGCCAAGTTGAAATGCTACAGGCAGGAATTCTCCTTCTGCAAATTTTGAATCTCCATATCACTTAACTTGAGAAACTGCAAGTCACTTCTGGTGTGAGAGAACTGGCCGTCTGCAAGGACGTTGCCCAGGGGACGCCCGGATTTTTTACCATCCTGTAGGAGGCTTCTCTCATGTCTCCGCATGAGAAGCTGGAGCTGACAGGCAGGAGCTCACCCTGCTCCCCGCATTCGAACCGCTGACCTTCAGGTCAGCAGTCCTACCGGCACAAAGGTTGAACTCATTGTGCCACCGGGGGCTCCATCATTTAACTAAGAGTCCCCACAATGGTTAAGTGACGGAAAATGATTTTAACGATGAGACGCTGAGATTTGTATTTATGTTTTAAATTGTTAATTGTTATTGTTTTACATGGTTATTTTATATGTAATTGTCTTGGCTATATTCTTATCTTGTAAGGCATTGATTGCCAAATGTAATAATAATAATAATAATAATAATAATAATAATAATAATAATAATAATAATATAAGAAAACTTTATTTATGTCCTGCTACCATCTCCCCAAGGGACTCGGATGTGGCTTACATGAGGCCGAGCTCAAAGTACATCAACAGTAAAAGCAATAAGAAAACAATCAAAGCAACAGTTAAAATAAATCTCATAAACAAAAGTAAACAATAGACAGTAACAATAACAACAAGCATTTAAAACCTATGGCTAACACCTATGTAAACCGCCTCGAGTCACCTTTGGGCTGAGAGGGGCGGTATACAAATAAAGTAAACAAATAAATTAATTAATTAAAATAGGCTTTGAGAGGTTTAGCACAGCTGGTAGATCATCAACAATTATAAGATCTATCAACCAAAAGGTTGGTAGTTCGAAGCCCCGGGTTGGCGTAAACTGCCAACTGTCAGCCTAGCTCACTGTTTACCTAAGCAATTTGAAAACAACTTTAGCTGTGATTAGAGTAATAGGTATCGCTAAAAAGCAGGGGAGGTGTTTTACGACACCATAAAGAAAAAATCAGAAAATGTTGGGTGACCAAAAGGAAGGAGGAAGTCCTGACGGCTCTTCGTCACAGAGGATAGAGCAACAGCACCTCCTGGACTCGAGCCCAACTTTCCATGGCACCTCCTTCTGTTCTGTCTGTCTGTGTATTCTCTATACAAAGTGGCATTGAATGTTTGCTGTGTATATGTACTGTGATACACCCTGAGTCCCCTTCAGGGTGAGAAGGGCGGAATATAAATATAGTGTAGTTGTTGTTGTTATTATTTTACTGACACAAAAACACAGTATGTCACAGCAAACGAGATCTATATGCTGGATTTCATATAACAAAATCACAAGTCAAACACTTTCCAAGCATCTAGGACTGAGTGATGCATTATTATTATTATTATTATTACTACTACTACTACTATTATTATTATTATTATTATTATTATTATTATTATTATTTTGCTGACACAAAAACACAGTATGTCACAGCAAACGAGGTCTATATGCTGGTCACAAGTCGAACACTTCCCAAGCGTCTAGGACTATGTTGTTGTTGTTGTTGTTGTTATTATTATTATTATTATTATTATTATTATTATTTATTCTCAAATGTTGAAAAGCTTTGCACAATCTAGATATGTCGATATTTAGTATTTGCATAGCATATTTACTGGTGGCGCAGTGGGTTAAACCCCTGTGCCAGCAGGACTGAAAGACCGACAGGTCGCTGGTTCGAATCCAGGGAGAGCGTGGATGAGCTCCCTTTGTCAGCTCCAGCTCCCCATGCAGGGACATGAAAGAATCCGCCCACAAGGATGGTAAAACATCAAAACATCCGGGCTGTCTCCTGGGCAACGTCCTTGCAGACAGTCAATTCTCTCACACCAGAAGCGACATGCAGTTTCTCAAGTCATTGCTGACACACACACAAATGGAAAAATGAGTTTTGACATGAGCATAATCAGCAATGAAGACTCTGCCTCCTCCTACCTGGCCCAGTTTGTCACTGCATTCATGCTTAGTTCTGGTAGGTTGACTTGACTGCGCTGGAGGACAGTGGAGGCCTTCGGTTCTTCCCTTGACAGAATATTCCGGTGTTCTCCCTTCAGTAATCAGCAAGGCCAAGTTGACAAGGAATTCCTCAGCTTCATATTCAAAATATTCATCTAAAGTATCTACAAGAAACCAACACACCCAATGAGATCACAAGTGAGAACCATGATTTTAGACACACATGTATGATGGACGCTACATTTAAAATACATTATACTTGGACAAAATTCAAAAAATGAAAAGAAAACCTATAATCCGTCCGGAAAACTGTAGCTATGTATTTCTGAATGACTCTTAGGTTCCCTTGTGACTACAATCCTATGATTCTATGCATCATAACTCTATAATGCCATCCATTTTCTGTGCTTTCCCATCCTAAGATCAAGAAATAAGAACCCCCGGTTGCAGAATGGGTTAAACCTTTATGCCAGCAGGACTGCTGACCGAAAGGTCGGCGGTTCAAATCCGAGGAACGTGGGGAGCTCCTGTCTGTCAGCTCCAGCTTCCCATGAGGGGACATGAGAGAAGCCACCCACAGGATGGTAAGACATCCGTGTGTCCCCTTAGCAATATCCTTGAAGACAGCCAATTCTCTCACACCAGAAGCGACTTGCAGTTTCTTAAGTCGCGCCTGACACACACACAAAACAATCAAGAAATTATTTCCTAAATGTCCTTCCAATGGGTTGAAGGCCAAGCAAATTTACAACAATGATGATGATTACAAATTTAAGTGCCAAGATCTCAGAATCCGCACTATGTCCATAGAAGTATGTGGTCTGTGTAGCCTGGTTGGATCCTACTGTTGATACCATGCTGGCTTCTTTTGCTGGTTGTTGGACTGAAGCCATATGATAAAATAAAATAAACAAATCACGCTTCAACAAGTAAACATGATCAAGCAAAATATGTTGACATTGTGCATTTCCCAAACAAACCAGGATCTCTGCAGAGTCCCTTTGAATCCTTAGAATCCTAGAGTTGGAAGAGACCTCATGGGCCATCCAGTCCAACCCCATTCTGCCAAGAAGCAGGAAAATTGCATTCAAGGCACCACCGACAGATGGCCATCCAGCCTCTGTTTCAAAGCCTCCAAAGAAGGAGCCTCCACCACACTCCAAGGCAGAGAGTTCCACTGCTGAACAGTTTTCTCTCACAGTCAGAAGTTCTTCCTCATGTTCAGGTGGAATCTCTTTTCCTGTAGTTTGAAGCCATTGCTCCATTGCGTCCTAGTGAGGGAAGCAGAAAGGGAGCTTTCTCCCTCCTTCCTGTGATTTCCTCTCACAAATTTATACATGGCCCTCATCATGTTTCCTCTCAGCCTTCTCTTCTACAGAATAAACATGCCCAGCTCTTTAAGCCGCTCCTCATAGGGCTTGTTCTCCAGACCCTTGATCCTTTTAGTTGCCCTCCTCTGGAGACATTCCAGCTTGTCAACATCTCCCTTCAATTGTGGTGCCCAGAATGGGACATAGTATTCCAGGTGTGGGCTAACCATGGCAGAATAGAGCATGGGGAGCATGACTTCCCTGGATCTAGGCACTAAACTCCTACAGTGTCTAGAATGATCTTTTGAATCACAATGGCCAGATTTTGCATTAAGTTCAAGTGACACAGATTGTTAACAAAAAGAACCAGGATACTACATCGAGTAAGAAAGTAACATCTTTTAAAATGTCTTTCAGGTTAAGTTTTAAAGAGTGTGTGGTCTTATCAGACACAGTAATTTAGAAAACGGTTTTTAAGGATAAACACTTCTTGTGCCAAGGAAGGTTTGCCAGGAACACGGAGGGTACTTTTTGTTAGAGCATAAGTCCAGTCCAAACTAGCAAAGGAATTAAAATACAGCAATTCTCAGCTGATAAAGCAGCAGCTGGCAGGGCTCTTCATGAATTACACTGAGATACTTGATTCCAGCAGATGCAGAATGTAACCAATTCCCTTGTTTTAAGTTTCTATCACACAGCCATCCATTGTGCTACGCTGCAGGCCTTCTTTGCATTCTGCTTCAGTGACACTGTGTTCAAGCATTTACTGTATATATTCGAGTATAAGCCTAGTTTTTCAGCCCATTTTTTACGATGCAAAAGTTCCCCTCGGCTTATACTCAAGTCAAGGTTATTTATTATTTTATTCGTTATTAATATCATTTTTATTATATCTATTATTTTACTCTATTTATTATTACATTTATGTTATTTTACACTATTATTATTTTAGTACATTTATTATTTTACTCTATAATTATTGCATTTATTTTACTTTATTATTGTTATTATTATTGTTATTGTTATTGTTATTGTTATTGTTATTATTATTATTTTATTCTATTTATTATTATTATTAGTAATACATGCATTATTTTATTCTATTATTATTGCATTTATTTTACTTTATTATTGTTATTACATTTATTATTTTACTCTATTATTAGTAGTAATACATTATTTTACTCTATTATTATTATTATTGCATTTATTTTACTTTATTATTGTTATTACATTTATTATTTTACTATATTTATTATTAGTAGTAGTACATTTATTATTTTACTCTATTATTATTGCATTTATTTTACTTTATTATTGCTGTTGTTATTACATTTATTATTCTATTCTTTTTAATATTAGTAATACATTTATTATTTTATTCTATTATTGCATTTCTTTTACTTTATTATTGTTATTATGTTTATTATTTTACTCTATTATTAGTAATACATTTATTATTTTACTCTATTATTATTGCATTTATTTTACTTTATTATTGTTGTTATTATTACATTTATTATTTTACTCTATTTATTATTAGTAGTAGTAGTACATTTATTATTTTACTATATTATTATTGCATTTATTTTACTTTATTATTGTTGTTGTTATTACATTTATTATTTTTCTCTATTTTTAGTAGTAGTAGTAGTACATTTATTATTTTACTCTATTATTATTATTGCATTTATTTTACTTTATTATTATTGTTTTTTCCTGTCTCACCTGGGAGACATCACGAAATGAACCTTGGACTTTTTGTGTGCAAAGCATATGTCCAAATGCTGAATTATAGTCTGGATCTGAGCCTTGGAGTTTAATTAGAGTTTAATTTCGGTAGTATTTCTTGATAATAAGACAGCAGAGTCACTGTCTTCTATTCTCCAGAAAGGGAACCACTTTGTTTGAAGACCTAAAGGAAGAACTAAAAAGATGAGAGAAAGAAAAGAACATTGCTTTTGGATTCAGGCATTTCTGTTGCTCTACAGCAGTGGTTCTCAACCTTCCTAGTGCCCTGACCCCTTAGTAAAGTTCCTCATGTTGTGGTGTCCCCCAACCATAAAATTATTTTTGTAGCTACTTCATAACTGTAATTTTGCTCCTGTTATGAATCGTAATGTAAATATCTGATTTGCAAGATGTATTTTCATTCCCTGGACCAAATTTGGTACAAATACCCTATACGCCCACATTTGAATACTGGTGGGGTTGGGGGGGAGGCTTATTGATTTTGTCAATTCGGAGTTGTAGTTGCTGGGATTTATAGTTTACCAATAATCAAAGAGCATTTTGAACACCACCAACAATGCAATTGAACCAAATTTGGCACACAGAACTCCCATGACCAATAGAAAATTTTGGGTTTTGTGGGCATTGACCTTGAGTTTGGGAATTGTAGTTCACCTACATTCAGAGAGCACTGTGGACTCAAACAATGACAGATCTGGACCAAACTCTACACGAATACTCAATATGCCCGAATGTGAACACTGGCGGAGTTTGGGGAAAATGTTGTTGTTCATTCATTCAGTCGTTTCTGACTCTTCGTGATCTCCTGGACCATCCCAGGCCAGAGCTCCCTGTCGGTTGTCACCTCCCCCAGCTCCTTTAGAATCAATCCAGTCACTTCAAGGATGCCATCCATCCACCTTGCCCTGGGTCAGCCCCTCTTCCTTTTTCCTTCCATTTTCCCCAGCGTAATTGTCTTCTCTAAGCTTTCCTTTCTTCTCATGATGTGGCCAAAGGACTTCATCTTGGCCTCTGCTATCCTTCCTTCCAATGAGCAGTTGGGCTTTCTTTCCTGAAGTATGGACTGGTTGGATCTTCTGGTGGTCCAAGGCACTCTCAGAACTTTCCTCCAGCACCACAGTTCCAAAGTGCCGCTACGGGGAATACCTTTGCTTTGACTATGCGGATCTTTGTTGCCAGTGTGATGTCTCTACTCTTCACTATTTTATCGAGATTGGTCATTGCTCTCCTCCCAAGAAGGAAGTGTCTCCTGATTTCCTGTCTGGAGTCTGCATCTCCAGTAATCTTTGCACTTAGAAATACAAAGTCTGTCATGGCCTCCACATTTTCTCCCTCTATTTCCCAGTTGTCAATCATTCTTGTTGCTATAATCTTGGTTGTTTTGATCTTTAATGGCAACCAAGCTTTTGAACTTTCTTCTTTCACCTTGGTTAGAAGGCTCCTCAGCTCCTCCTCGCTTTCGGCCATCAAAGTGGTGTCATCTGCATATCTAAGGTTGTTAATGTTTCTTCCAGCAATTTTCACCCGAGCCTTGCATTCGTCCAGCTCTCACATCCGTAGGTGACTACGGGGAATACCATTGCTTTGACTATGCGGATCTTCATTGCCAGTGTGATGTCTCTACTCTTCACTATTTTATCGAGATTGAACATTGCTCTCCTCCCAAGAAGTAAGCATTGGGGAAAATAGGTCTTGACATTTGGGAGTTGTAGTTGCTGGGATGTATAGTTCACCTACAATCAAAGAGCCCCTTGAACCCCACCAATGATAGAATTGGCCAAACTTCTCACGCAGAACCCCCATGACCAACAGAAGATATTGTATTGTCGAAGGCTTTCATGGCTGGAATCACTGGGTTGTTGTAGGTTTTTTGGGCTATATGGCCATGTTCTAGAAGCATTCTCTCCTGACGTTTTGCCTTCATCTATGGCAAGCATCCTCAGAGGTTGTGAGGTCAGGAAAAAATGTTTGTAGAACATGACCATATAGCCTGAAAAACCTAAAACCCAGGAAACTATTGTGTTTTCTGATGGTCTTTGGCAACCCCTCTGACACCTCTCCCTCGTGACCCCCAGGTTGAGAAACGTTGCTCTTCAGAGCAC